GAAGTGCCACGACCGGAGCATGAAGGGAGGAGCCACTGGTGGGGGTACGGCCACAAGCCACAGACCCCGAGGTGGGCACCTGGCCAATAACCTGAGGGGCGCACCTGGACCTAAGGGGGGTAGCTGCACCTGAGGGAGTTACCTGAAGTAGGGGGGTCTTTGGCATGTGAGCCGGGCCCAACCAGTGGTATTGATTTGAGAGAGAGAACGAGAGCTAATGTAAAAGGCAATGAGAACTGAAACGCGGAACAGTGGCGTTTAAAGGTTGGACAGGGAGTGAGAGAACTTACGTTGCTGGTTAGCTGCAGGTGAGTGTTTCGCTCCAGGTGAGCGAATGCAGAAGCAGTAGCGCTGGCACTCGCGCTCCTGCAAAGGGAGGCGGTGGAGGAGGGGGGGGAGGGAGAGGGGAGTGCGCGTGGAGGCGCAGTGAGTGGGATAGAAATGACACAGTGGAACGGAATGGCTCTATGTGTGGCGAAACGGAGGACGAGCGGAAGGAGGGCCACTGGTGGAGGCACAGCGAAACGCCACAGATCCAAGGGAGGATATACCTGTAGTAGGGTGGGTCTACCTGAGGGCTTAACCTGTGGGCGGGGCTTTACCGGTAGTAAGGGGGGTCTGTGGGTTGTACACTGTGCCTCCGCCAGCGGCGCCATTTTATGAGAAAACGAAACGACAGGAAACACCGATGCATTGCATGCATGCATGCATGATGGAGGAACGGCTACTTAGCTGATGATGCGAGTGCGTGCAGACGGCAGGTGCTGCATGCCTCGGCAGCATGAGGTGTCCCCTCGTGCAGCCTCGTGCTCCGCTAGGAAGCATGAAGACGCTGAGGCACCCCAAGTTGCTTGCTCGCTGCCCCGCCTCTGTCTCCATCTGCTCCTTACCATCAGAGGCAGAGTGACCTGTCCAGGGGGGTGGGTGGGGGGGGGGGGGGGGGGCAGAGGGAACAAGGAGACGACGAAGTGAGGACAGTGAGCCACATGTGAGCCGCGCAGAGCAGCAGAGGCACCTGGTGCGCCCCCTGGAGCAGCGCCAGCACCTGATGAGATGAGCCCCGTGAAGCAGCTATGGCACCTGGAGGGGGGGGGGGGAGAAGGGGGGAAGGGGGAGAGGGAGGGGAGGGGGGGAGGGTCGCCCATGGCACACATGCACGAGCAAGCGGTAGCGCGGGGACAACGAGGAGGAGGGGACTCGACGCGTGCATGCAGCGATAGCTACAAGTCCAACATAGCCTAACCCACTAGCGATTGGACTCTATGCAGGCGGCTCAAGCAAGCGCCGTGCACCATGGGCTTCTGGGGGAAAGGGGAGGGGGACGGGAGTAAGAGCAATCGAAGGGGTGGGGAGGAGCATGGGATTTATAGTGCACGGGAAACGAAAAGCAGGAAAGCATGCGAGGGAATGGGATCGGGCGAGCACTTAGCCTCGGAAATGGCGCTTGAGGCCGAGTTGCCGGTCGGCACAGCAAGCGACAGGTGACGCTCGGTTGGGTTGCTGTGCACACCGACGCCATGCATGCGGAGCGCCGTGCAGAGCGTCATGCATGGGGAGCGCCGTGCACGCGGAGCGCCGTGCACACGTTGAGGGGTTGCCGACATCCATGCTGCACGGGTGTGCGTCCTGTCAGGCCGCTCGCCTGGATGATGTCGCACCTGAGAACACATGAAAACGAGACCAGCGTAAGAGAAAATCTTAAAAGTCAAACGTGCAGAAAGCGAAGTCGGAATTCAAAAGCGTACCTAGAAATTGACGAGCATCCGCCGATTGATGTGCTTGAAACCGTAGTGCACGGAGGGAAGATATGTCGGAGGTTGACATGAAGGCGGATAGCGGATGATACGTTGGCTGCAAAAAATAAATCGCATGAAAAAGTGTCAGAAACTTGCATAATATAAAAAGAATTACATACCGTTGCGAATCGGAAACTTACATCGTCGTTGTGGTAGAACGAAGGTCCATAAAAGCAGACAGTCAGCTACGGCTAACGACGGATAGTGGATGTTGAATTGACTGCAAACGAGAAAGAAAGGCAGCGTAAGAAATGTCCACAAAAATGTTGAAGCGCCAACCAAATTTTACGGAGAAGTTACCTGCGTTGGAGCACGTTGCAGTGGTTCGAAGCTCCACAAAAGCCCGCAGCGAGAGCATTCTGAGCCGGCGAACAAATGTCCTTGAAGCAGGAGAAATGAGCCCGGTGGAGGTGCGAATGGCTACATAGAGCTGAGTTGGAGACGAACGAACGGAATGTTGAATTGAATGTTCGAATGTCTCGGCTAAATTGACTAGGTCGAAATGCCGCTCCAAGAAATGCCTGGTTCAAATGTTGGTTGGAATGTCGCTCCTGGGAAATGTGTGATTGGAATATACTGGATGGAAATTTTCAAGGCCAAACGCAAGGGAGTGGGGGGGATTGGGGGTGCGAGGTTCAAAACTCGCGGTTCGCTGGACGTCTAAAAAAAAAAACCGAATCGTGGGTATGGGAGTAAAAATCGCGCGGTTCCGAAGCAACAGGTTCAGAAATCAAATACGGGCCTTATAACATCCACCGGTTTATAGCAACACCGGTTTATAAATAGCGGAATACAACGAAATAGCACTCCTAATTAGAACTAGGAGTAGGCTTGAACTTCAAGGAGAACTTGGAGATGATAAGGAAATAGCCAAGATTTAGCTAAGTCCTTTGTGGTAGAGATAGCAGTTGGAGGACTTAGAGAGGAAGAGGATCCTTCTTCCAATATTGAGTTATTGGGGAAGGAAAGTGAAGAATGAGCCCCCAAGAGCCCTCCCATTTCCTAGACCCCTTGGGGTGCAACCACCTTCTCCATGGCCAAGGGGGTGGTGCACCAATTGTGGACCTTGCCCATGTGGCATGGGTTGGGTTTTCCCAACCAAGGAATTCATAGTGAGCTGGAATCAGTTTGCTCAGGTGTGCAAACTTATCTTGGGTTGCTAAATGTGCATTGATTGGAATTGCAGCCAATAGGAACAATTGCTGCCCAACCCAAATCCAACATGTCACTTGCTGGTGGAATGGTAACCACCATTCCAACCCTATCACCCAAACCTATCTTCCCAACGTTCAATCCCAAACCTATCCAACCCAACCCAACATTCCAAATATGTTCCCGCAACTTCGCGCGCAAGGGGAAACCAGGAACGTCCAGATTAGTCGCGATAGTTAGACTAGGAGGGGCGGGTTCGTAGGGCGATATGTTACAGGCCTGGAGGAATGGCCGATGGGATAAAAAAGGGGGACTGATGGAGCTTGAATCATTGGATTAATTTCAATCAAAATTGATCTACGGCTTGGATTGGTTGAGTAAACGTTATGGCTGGGCGGGAAGGGAACAAAAACGGCCATTTCGAAACGCGTCAAAGCGACTCGTGAGATCATGATGTCAGGAGGTAGCCAATAGCGGAGGACCTAACCCTAACGGAATGGAGGGAATTGCATCTGCTGGGGTTTGTGTTGGGCGAGGTTCCCTGCTCCCCTTCTGTGTCACAGGCAAAACTTCTGAAGCTTCAGTCCGAGCCAGGAAAGGGAGGCTTGGAGGAGAGAGAGGGAAATGATTTTGACAAACTTTGTGCGGCTGGACGGTACGAACGAGGTTTGCGAAATATGAGTAACTGAGTTCATTGCCTCTGTGTGGAAATTGTGTGGTCCCCAGCGGCGACCAATTGTAGCGAAGAGGAATCTGGTCAGACGTCACGTCTGACCTGGCCCACATCTGGTTAGATGGTTTGGTTAGATATTGAGAAAGAAAGAAGTAGAGAAAGAAAGAAAGTACAGAAAGAAAGGAAGTCGATTTGAGAGCGGTGCTGGGATTCGGGGAAACTATTAGCGAGTATTTACTGACATCCACACTTCAGCAATCCTGCGATTGGTGTAACTTGCACACTGGACTGAACCTCGGGAATTGCGTGACATGCCCCCCGAATTATGTCGTGTAGCACCCGCATCACCACAACACGAACCGAACGTCACCAAACCAGACCGTGTTGAAACATTTTGTAGCATACCGCATTTCACCTCATCCCATCACATTATAGACCCCCGTACATTTCCATTCCACCCCAACTCTCGAGTTGCGACTTCGAGGATCTCTGGTCTCGTGTGTCTCCCTCGGCTAGGAGATTTCGGAAATTCATTTTGCACCATAGGCAGCATTGGCGCGCAGTACGCCACCACCACCCCCGCGTACTGGCTTGACCCCATCTTCCCCACCACCAACTCCCGGGGAGCCCACCCACTCGTGGCTTTCCCCTCCCGTCCGCTAAAGAGGTCAACCTCTGCAGGCGGAGGTTGCCTCTTCCCCTGAGCTCCAGCTATTCGCCCGGACCAGACCGACCTCTCGGACCGCGAATCCAGCAAGTCGGCTTCACGGTCCCGTCGAATGGATAGCGCGGTTCGTCCAATCTTCCAACGGGGCCGCAGCACACGCGTCTCGGCCGACATTGATGTCAGCGCCATTGACATTGCTGCGGATGGGGGAAGGGTTCCCTCCCCGCCCGCTCCTCCCTTTTCTACAGTGAATGCGCGCCTGTTCCTCCAGCTGCCTGCGGTTTCATTTTCCCCTGCTGCTCTGTGCTGCTGCTTTTCTATCAAGCCGTTTAGAAAAGAGGTCAGCCAGCAACCTCCTTGATAGTTCCGCCCCACTCCACACCTGAGAGCCTTTCTCCTAGTATCTGCTTCATAGCGTCAGCTTAGCTCAGCTGCGGTTGGCGCTGCTCTCCCGCCGCACCCTCCTCCTTCATCCCGTTTCGCCGTCCAAACATAACGCATTTCGTTTCAAGCCTTCGTTACTGTTCCTACCTCTCCCGTCGCAACGTCTCTCGACTCGAATTCAACTCCCTTCCAACGCACGGCTTGTCAGTATGGACAATTTCCGTGATCCGCCCGTTTGCAAGCGAATTCATCGCACCACGTGCCTCCTCCTCCCCTTATCGCTCCCTCGCCCGTTTCATTAGTGCGTCTGTTCGTCACAAGTAGACTTGACTGTCCAGCAAACGCAGTACAGTCCACTGAGCAGCAGGCGGAATGAAACCACCCGCCAGGCTCCTACCAGCCGATTCTTAACTTAGGGTTAGAGGCAGTTTCACTTATCCAGAGGACAGATTCGGCCGTAGTACCCACCAGGTTCCTCCTTACGGGCCATTCCAGCCGAAGGGTTCCGAATTCATCTGAATCAGCCGTAATACCCGCGAGATTCCTCCCAGCTCGAGATATTTTCCCGAGAACGTCACGTGGTCGACGTACCAACGCCACCCGCGCGGTTGCCTGATCGCAGGACTTCGCGCATTGTAGCCTTCGCTCGAATTTGTAGTCTGCCTGCCTTTTCCCCCCATTTTCCCTGCATTAGTCCGCTGAACGTAATTCGTCCGTAACTCGTCGGCTGAGCTGAGCTGTAACGTCTGCTGAGTTGCGTTCTTACCGCTGCTTCAGCCGGACGTCGTCTGCTGCACACCGCTCGCCGTCAGCCTTTGGCCCCCCGTCAGAACATTCACGCGCGGTCGAACAGAAAAAGGACTCGAGCCCGTGATACCCTCAATCCCTAGGTCGAGTGTCCCTCCTGCAAAGCTCCTAACCTCCTAGATTCTCGTTTCAGCATCGAGTGTCCCTCCTACAAAGCCAAGCTATCGCATTCGTCGGTGTTCCATCTGGCCTTCGAGGCGACACGACGAATTCGAGCCTTCGGCATCCCAGACACGCATTCCATCGCGAAGTCACCTCAAACTCGCCCATCCGCTCGGCATATCGAATCAACCGCATCCCCTACCCTCCCCACACTCCCAGATCCCGAAGTCTCTAAGCCATATCGGCTAATCGCCACCATGGCAGCCGCATCGCCCCGGCAGGTCGCCTGTTCCCCATCCAGTCGCCTCTACACCCCCACGCTCTCGTCGCTTGCCAAGACGCGCGCCCATGGCCCGTCGGAGTCGAAGGGGCTGGAGCGGATGCCCGCTGCGACGTCGCCGAATGCGTCGCCACTGTCGCCCGTGCGACGTCGAGGTTCCGCCTCCCCCTTCTCACATGGTTTTCCGTACCCGTCTCCGCCTAACAGCCCCCCCGCTTCCCCCCGCTGCCTCAGCTCTCCCGCTTCCCCTGGCCGCCTGGGGCTCGGTTCCCCCGCTTCCCCCGGTCGGGGGGAGCGGAAGGCGACGGCTACCCGGCGCAACTCTCCGCCCAGCGGCACCCGCGAAAGCGCGGACGCGGGGGAAAGCCTGGCGACGCGGCTGCGGCGGCAGGTGCAGGAGCAGCAGCGACAGCGGCAGGAGCGGCGGCAGCAGCAGCAGCAGCGGCGGATTCTGGAAGAGGAGCAGAGGCGGTCGGACGAGCGCTCCGATTGGTCAGGCTCTCCGCGAATCACGCTAATGGCGGCGGGAAGACAAGAGGTGCTTTTTACCCGACAGATGCTGAAAACGGCGGAACTGACGGCGCAGTTGACGGAGCTCCGTCAGATGACCGTGGAACTGCCGGACGAGGCGGAGTCGGACGATTCTAGCTCCGTCAACGACTCTGGTTCCGTCAACGAAGCGTCGTCTGCCAGTGGGAGTGGCGAGTGGTCGTCTGACGACGCGGACAGCTTCGCCCGCGTGAAGCATCTCCGTTATAAGCTTGCTGCGAGTCCCGTCTCCGTGCTGGACCTGGAGCAGCAGCGGAATAACATGAAACCGCAAGGGGAGGAATACGACTCGGACGCAGTAACGACGACAAGCAGCGGAGAGCTGAACCCCACCTTGGTTCTCCAAGACTTTCTGATAAGTAACAGGAAGGCAGGATCAAAGACGGCTTCGTCCCCCTCCGTCTCCTCCTCCTTTTCGTCCTCCCTCTCCTCCTCCCTCTCCTCCCCTACAGCCCTCTCACCTTCCCCCCCAATATCTGAAAGTGAGACCCCCTCTCTTCCTTCTCCTGCACTGTCCGCCCTCCCTCCTCCTCCTCTTTCCTTACCTTCTCCGTCCCTTCATTCCTCCTCTCCTACTCTTCCTCGCTCCCCTCCTCGCTCCCCTCCTCTCTCGGCCCCTCGCTCGCCTCCTCGCTCTTCTTGCCCTGCCGAATCCCTGGCCCTCCTAGACCTATCCAGCACGGATTTGGTCATGGCTGACGTGGCGGGCATCGAGGGGCTTGCTGACGTGGCGGGGATCGAGCAGGACCTGGAGTACGTGCGCCACGTGTTGCTGCTCTCTGGTTTTGCAGGAGACGCCTTGCCTCCTCTCTCCTCCGTCCCATCCCTCGGCCTTCCAGTACGGAGAGAGGTGTTTGAACAGCTAGAGACGGAGATCACAGGAGACATCAACAGCGTCTGCAGCAGCCGTGATAGCAGCAGCATTGGAGGAACTGAGACTGATGCTGCTGGTCAGGGCGCCGATGGCAGCAGCAGCGACACGCGCACCACAAACACCAGGAGCAACAAGAGCACTAAGAGCTCGGAGGAGCGACGGCAGCGAATGCTGCTGTTTGACGCTGTCAACGAAGCACTCGGCCGCACCCTTGCTCCGTTCCTCAACCCGCCCCGATGGGACCTTGACACGTGTCCTTCCTCCACTGCCCGGCCAATCTCCTTCCGGCAACTGCACAGGCGACCAGTGGGAAAGGAGCTGCTCAAGAGAGTCTGGGTGGAGATCCATGATTGGCCGATTCCACCGTCACCTGACGTGTACGACGTGCTTGATGACGCTGCCAGGAGGGACATGCTGAAGGGCGTTGACCGGTGGTCCCAGGGAGAAATGAGAGACTCAGAGGCTGCTGCCGTGGCCTTTGACCTGGACGGGATGATTCTCGACGCGCTTGTTGAGGCGGCTTGTAAGGAGTACAGCGAGGCAGAGCGGGAGCGGGTGGAGAGGAGGAGAGTGCGTGAGTTGCAGGAGAGGGAGAGGCGGAGCAGGAGGAGCATTGGAGGGAAAGCCTGTGGGGGTGGATGTGAGGGGAAAGCCTCTAGAAAGACGCCGGTGCGGTCTGGGAGTGTGGGGAGGGTGGGAAGGCCCATGACCCCACAGAAGGGGGGGGGAGGAGGAGCAGGTGCAAGGGCAAGTAGCGTTGAAAGGGCAGCGGCGAAGGGTGCAGAGTTGCATGGGGTGGATCGGACCCCTACTAGGCTTTCTACTCCTGTAAGGGCTGCCAGTTCAGGGATGTGTGTGCGGTCAATTGGTGCTGGGAGGATGGTGCAAAGGCCCGTGGGAGGGGCGGTTGGTGGGGACGTGGAGAGAAGGTGGAGAAAATGATCGAAGCGTAGCAGTGTTCAAGGCCAGTCTTGAACAGAACTGATCAGCTATACTGATTGCTAGTTGATGTCAGTGGAGCTGTCTCAGCTCTACACCCTGGGTTTCTTTCTGCTAATTAGCATTTTGTTTCTGTTTTTTGTAGTGTAAACGATTAACAGCCGGTTCATTTATAGCTCAATCAGAATGGCACTTGTCACAACGGTTCAAGTGGAATGGCCCGTGGGTGGGTCGTTCTTCTCCCGAGACCTACAGAGACTTGTCCAACATGGTCACAACAACCTGCCGGGGGCGTTCTTCGCCCGGCATGGTCACAACACAACAACCTGCCAGGGCCGCTCTTATCCTGGCATGGTCACAACAACCTGTCGGGCCCGTTCTTCTCCCGGCGTGGTCACAACAACCTGCCGGGGCCGTTCCTCTCCCGGCATGGTCACAACAACCTGCCGGGGCTGTTCCTCTCCCGGCATGGTCACAACAACCTGCGGGGGTCGTTCCTCTCCCGGCATGGTCACAACAACCTGCCGGGGCCGTTCCTCTCCCGGCATGGTCACAACAACCTGCCGGGGCCGTTCCTCTCCCGGCATGGTCACAACAACCTGCCGGGGCCGTTCGTCTCCCGGCATGGTCACAACAACCTGCCGGGGCCGTTCTTCTCCCGGCATGGTCACAACAACCTGCCGGGGCCGTTCCTCTCCCGGCATGGTCTGGTTACAACAACCTGCCGGGGCCGTTCTTCGCCCGGCATGGTCACAACAACCTGCCAGGGCCGTTTTTTTCCCGGCATGGTCACAACAACCTGCCGGGGCCGTTTTTCTCCCGGCATGGTCACAACAACCTGCCGGGGCCGTCCTTCTCCCGGCATTGTCACAACAACCTGCCGGGCCCGTTCTTCTCCCGGCATGGTCACAACAACCTGCCGGGGCTGTTCCTCTCCCGGCATGGTCACAACAACCTGCCGGGGCCGTTCTTCTCCTGGCATGGTCACAACAACCTGGATCACCTGGAAGAATGGCAATGGAGAGGGCACCAAGAGGAAGAAACCATACCTAAGAGAGATCATACAAGTGCACGTGTACAGTCATCAGTACAACCAGCTAGTAGACCACACCTTTTTTCACTTTCCAATTTTATGCTGGTACAGATGCGGCTGCTGGTGCTGCTGGTCCTTGCGATGCTGCAGCACCTGCAGCTGCTCCTAAAACCGAAGCTGAAGCTGACGTGTTTACACCGGCCTCTGCTGGTGCAGCCTCGACTGTAAATGCTGCAGCCTCCTCCTCGTCTCTTTCGCCATCTTCCATGGCTTCTGCTGCCAAGCCAGCCCCCTCATGAATAACTTCCACCACGTCAGAATCCTGGCTGCCGTCTGCTGTTGATGCTGAAGCACCCGCAGTGACACTTGCAGCAGCCGGAACAGAAGCAGTGGCAGAAGCAGCAGCAGCGGTGACAACTGCTGTAGCGTCCATGCCACTAGACTCTGGTGGTGCTGCTGCTGCTGCTGAGGTGGAAGCAGAGGGGTTGCCAGAGGGATTGCCAGAGGGGGAAGGCGCTGGTGCTGCAGATGCGCTGGTAGGTTCATCCAGTGCTGCTATCTGCCCAGCCATAAGCGCAGAATACGCCTCCTCTTCCTGGCGCATTCGAATTTCCGCTTCAATCATCCTTTGCTCATCCATATCAGCAAGGCTTGCAGCGAACGCCTCCTGCTCCTGGATCCGTCTGATTTCCTCTTCGATGGCTCTCTGCTCCTCTTCATTGGAGAGACTTGCAGCGAAGGGGCATGTGTCATCATGCATTTCGTCCCCAGCTTCAGTCGTGGATGGATCGTTCTGATCAGCAAGCAGAGCAGCAGCGCATGCAACCTCCTTGCCTCTCCTTGCCTTTATCTCTGCTTCAATCGCCTTCTGATCTTCCTGCCAGAAACCAGCAACAGAATGAGGAAGACAAGAGGAGGGAAGGAAAGGGGGTGGTGATAGGCAAAAGGTTGACCACAGCACTGGGGGTGGGAAACGGCAGAGGGTGATACAGTCAGAGGTTAAACAGGGGTACACAACGAACACAGATGGATGACAAAAATACTTAATTTATAACAATATGGTGACCACTTGGAGATATCAGAAGGGGGTAGCCCACCTCCATATCCATCATCCTCTCCTCTGCAGTGCGCTTGCCCCGGTACTCCACAGAAGCTCCAGCAGTCACACAAAAGGGACACCTAGGAGGATTTTAGAGGCACGAGGAAGAATGAAACTGGAAAGGATGACAAAATATTATGATAAAACGCTTGGATATAATACGCCAGGCTAAGGATAGAAGGTAAATCCGAGAAGAGGGACAGAACACTGAAAGACAAAAAATCCTCACCATTGGATGCTGTGAGTAGCAGGACACTTCACAACAAGGAAGCATTCTGAAAGGGGGGAGAAGGTAAGAGAGAAGAAGAGTAAGGAAGGATTCGGGAGAAATTTCGGGCATTCTTGATCATTGTCAACATTGCTTACCCGTGCACATTCCTTTCTTGCAACAGCTCATCCAGTTTAGACTAGGATAGCCCTGAAATCAAAGGAGGTTGCAGAAGAAAGCGACAATAGAACATGAGTAAAGCGTAAATGAAAGCTGACAAGACCGACTACCAATACCACAGCACCAGAACCATTTAACACTAATAAAGAACAGATAAGGTGACTCCTAAACTCAGCTATGGCGTCATGGCTCCCTACCAGGAAGCATATCGGACATTCGTCCAGGTCGTGGCTAAATTCATCCTTCCCCACGTGACACGGAGCCAGCTTCGCGTCAAGAATTAGTCGCCGGAGCTCCTCCAAGTCTAAGTGGCGATGGCGGTACAGTCCCTGAGGCCGCGTGTACTGTTCCTCCACCACCGCCTGCTCCTCAACCATCTCCTGCTCGTCCGCCATGCGTTAGGATGAGAGGGAGAAAAATAGGATAAGAGCAGCAGTCGATCTCGTGGCCTGACCTACTCAAGAATTCACGAGTGGCCTTGTTGGGGCGGGCTGGGCGTGGTCGCAACATGGATTTGAGAGCGACGGAGGAGTGAGAGAGCATTTGGGGGTACAGCTGCTCCGAGAGCAAGCTCACGACAGGGGGGTTTCGGAGGGACCCAGAGGCGACGGGAGCGAGCATTTTGGGTGCATGCGACGAGGAGTTCCCCATGTCTGCATGGCCGCATGCTGGCACAGGAAGCTCCACAGGCACGGAACTGGCCGCAAAACCAGGGAGAAACTAAACTGGCCCCCAGAGGCGAAGTGCAGGACAGATTTGAGTGGGCGTGAACCTTGGGGTTGCATTCCTTCTCGGAGAGAGGACTCGTTATTGGAAGACTTGAAAGGGGGGTCGGATGATGGATCCCAAGGCCTGATGTGGGTGGTTGAACTGTGGGAAGTAGGTATATTAGCCTTTTGACATTCAAGGTAATCAACCTATTTATTCTTCGTACGAACAAGTCATCTAATTCACGCAATCACCATTACTGCCGCGGTGTGTCCACGAAGGCATAACTGCTAGATCTGTGACTTCATGCAGAGTGATTAGCATTGTGCGTGCACAGAAAAAGCTTCCCTAGCTGGTACATTTGCTTCCTTCCAATTGTCCTCCTGCTGACTCCACTGCAGGTGCTCCAGGTCCAGCCGAGGAGCCTTTCTTCCCCTGCTGCGTTGGTGCCGCTGCCGGTGCAGTTACCGCTGCTGGTACACTTACAACTGCTTCTGCTGGTGTTGCTGCTGGAGTGGCAGAGAACTGTCAAAGCAGCAGGCTGGGTGAGGGAAGCGAAGAGGAGGTGGAAGGAGAGGGGGAGGATGGGGATGCTACAGGCTGGCTAGCAGGTGTCTCCTCCGGTTCCACTTGCTCAGCTAGATGTGCAGCAGAGGCCACCTCCTCTTGCTGCAGTGCTATATCTGCCTCAATGATCTCCTGCTCCTCCAACTCATCAAGACTAAACGCATACGCCTCTGACTCCTGTTGCATTTGAATCGCTGCTTCAATTTCCCTCTGCTCTTCTAGATTTGACAGGCTGGCCGCATAGGCCTCCTGCTCCTGGTCGATTACAGCTGCTGCTTCGACCATCCCCTGCTCCTCTACAGACAACAGGCTTGCTGAAACTGCTTCTTGCTCCTGTTGCTTTCGGATTGCTGCTTCAATCTCTTGCTGTTCCTCTTTATTGGAAAGGCCTGCAGCATAGGTCTCCTGCTCCTGCTGAGCTCGGATAGCTGCTTCAATCCTTCCCTGCTCTTCTTGATTCGACGGGCTTGCCGCATACGCCAAAAGCTCCTCCTGCTGCCTGATTGTTGCTTCAATCTCGCCCTGCTCCACTTGAATGAATAAGGCTGCTGCATCAGCCTCTTGCTCCTGCTGTGTTTTGATTGCTGCCTCAATCGCCCTCTGCTCCTCAAGATTCGACAGGCTTGCTGCGTGCACCTCATCCTCCAGGCGCTTTCTGAATTCCGCTTCAATAACCCGCTGCTCCTCCACGGTCGATAACCGTGCTGCGTGCTCCTCATCCTCCTGGCGCTTTCTGATATCCGATTCAATAACAATCTGCTCCTCCTCTTCAGCCAAGCTTGCTGCATACGCCTCCTGTTGCCGAAGCCTTGCAATCTCTGCTTCAATTGCTTGCTGCCCATCCAGATCAGCTTGGAGAGCGGCATACGCCTCTGTCTCCTCTTGGCGCATCTTTATCTCGGCTGCAATCACCTTCTGATCCTCCTGCTCGCCACAGATGAGGCGGGGATAACGAAGTACAGGCAACAGAAGAGACAGTAAGGTCGAGCGGAGTGGAAAGAAGTGAGGCATTGAAGAAAAAGAAGAACGGGGGGGGGAGTGTGGACAGTGTGTGCAAGGGTCAGCGACTAGAACGAGAAATATGGCCGAGACAGGCAAAGTATAGATCGATATCCTGACTACTGGAGTGATTTCAAACCTGACAGCTTACCTCCATCTCCCTGATCCTCTCCTCTGCAGTGCGTTTTCCCCGATACTCCACCGCAGCTGCAGCTGTGTTACAGAATGGACACCTGCAAGGCAGAGAAAAGACTGGGCAGAGAAACTGAAAGACGGCACATCAGCGGAAGGGCAGGGGACGACATTTCAGGTGGAGTGCTGAAATCGATATAGTAGCTGAACCAAACATCACAGGGTATCCAGTCTAGGATAGAAATTTCAAGAAACGTGCAGCTCACCATTCAGTGTTGAAAGCAGTCGGGCATTTCAACTCTAAGAAGCACTCTGAATGGGGGACCACAAAGAGACGGCAAACAGAACGGTTGAGAGGAAGGTCTTGATCTTATTATATTTTGTCAATGGCTTACCAGCATTTATGAATATTCCTCACCTGTGCACATTCCTTTCTGGCAACATCGCAACCAGTTTAGGCTTGGATAGCCCTGACATCGGAAGGAACAAGACACAACAACAGCGCACGAGAATATCTCATGACATTTGCATTCATTGCGTCGTAAACGGCAGAGGTCGGTGGAATCTTAGAGAGAAAATCATACTCACCAGGAAGCAAATAGGGCATTCGTCCAGGTCGTGGCTGAATTCATCGCTCCCCGCGTGACACGGGGCCAGCTTCGCGTCAAGAATCAGACGCCGGAGCTCCTCCAAGTCCTCTTCCCGCTGGCGGGGATACAGACCCTGGGGCCGCGTGTACTGCTCCGCAACCACCTCATGCTCCTCCTCAACTGCCTCATGCTCCTCAGCCTCTACCTGCTCCGACTGCTCCCGATCTTGCCGCTCCACCACTACCTGCTCTTGCAGCACCACCGCCGGTTCCTCTGCCATGACGACGTTCCGCACAGCAAGAATATGAAGAAACCTCCTGCTGAGTCACGCTGGCATCGTTGGTGCTACGGTCGCAGCAGAAGGCAGAAGACAGAAGGCAGGGCGATTTGAAGCAGGAGGACCCGTCGATTCCATGCGAGGGGATTCTGAAGCCCATGAGGCGGTGCAGGCATCAACAGACGGTCTGGATGCTTCCCGCGCGAAAAGGCCCCATGATGCGCACGAGCCATTGCGCTTGTCACAGCCAAGCTGAAACGCGAGTGCGGATCTCGAAGCAACAGGCGTGGGTTTGGGACGAACGAGGAAGCATCGCTCTCGACGAGCTCCCAGAAACTTGCGGGGGCTCCGAGAAACTTGCGGTGCCGTAGCATGCAACGGTTTTCGAGAAATCGTGCACCCTGAATTTGTTCACAGAATTCACGGATTTGAAGCTGTGGGAGAGGATGGTTGGGGACTAGAGAGCAGCGGGAACAGTTACTGTACGTACGCGACTTTGCGTATAGGCTGGAATTTGTACAGATTTGTAACACTACTGTAGACGCAGGCTCTAACCTGAATTTGTTTCCTGACTCCAACCAGGATTGCTAGTCGCTGAGCTGACCACGGCAGCCTAGTTCCCTTATTCTTCCCTTCTAAGAGGATCTCGATGTGGTCGCCGTTGTTCCCCGCGTCGTACTCACGTGGCTAGAGCAGAGAAAGGGCGTATACGTGACATATAGAGCTAGAGCAATGGTGCATATATCGGAGGTCGGAAGTTTCGAGGATAAGGTGTTTGTGGTAACGGGAGGTGCGAGCTACGCTGGCGTCAGGCTCTGCCTCGAGCTACTGAGGAGGCAAGTTTTATCGTAGATGTTTATATCGATTATTTTCACGCCGTTGGCTTTTCCTGCTACGATTTGAGTAAGGCTGATAACGCCATTTCTTCCATCGTCTTTCGCGCATTCGTCATTCCTCAGGGAAGCTCGAGAAGTCCGCTGCTTCGACTTCCCCCCCTCTTCCGAACTACCTCCCCACAAACCGTCCCAATCACCGCCACCATCCGATCCATCCAAACCCCCCTCTTCCTCGTCCTCCCCCCCCTCATCCACCTCACATCCCAAAAACAACCCTCTAGCCTCCTCCCCTCTCCCCCTCCATGTCCTCTCTAAAGCCAGCACTCAGCAATCCACCGGCCATTCCCGCCTCCGGATATTCTCTGGGGACATTAGAAACCCTAATGACCTCAACCCTGCTCTGGCGGGGGCTGACTGTGTCTTCCACATCGCGTCCTTCGGTGCGTGGGGGAAGGAATCCCTTAAAGAGTCACTCATTAGCTCGGTTAACGTCGATGGTACACTCAATCTGGTGCACTGCTGCATGAACCAGGGGGTTAAGAGCCTGGTCTACACTGGATCCACTAGGGCAGTTTTCGGAGGGCAAACCATGGGACACATGGGGAGGAGAGAAGGAATGGGAGGAGGAAAGAGAGGAGGGGAAGGGGTGGATGAGGCGAGCTGCGATTATTACCCCATGGAGCAGCATGCGGACAGCTATGGACGGGCAGTAGGCCTTGCCGAACAAATTGTTCTCAAATCCAACATGAAGAAACTTCCTGGAAAGGGCCGGCTGTGCACGTGTGTGCTCAGGCCAGCCAAGCTCTTCGGCCCGGGGGAACCCCCCTCGCTCTGCCGAATCATGGGGCTGGTCCGGACTGGTTTCCTGCGGTTTAGGGTGGGAGACCAGCTGGCGCGCTCTGATTGGCTGTTCGTGGATAACCTGGTGCATGCGCAGTGTCTGGCGTTTGTCGGCCTCATTCCGGAAAATCCTAGCAGCAGTGGCAGTGGTGGTGGCGGCAGAAGCAGTGGTGGTGGTCCTGGGGGTGGCCAGGGAAAAGGGGAGCGGGATGGGAGTCTTGGGGACGGAGGCTGCAAGTCTGCTGGGCAGGTCTACTTCATAACTGATGGTAAGCAAGTAGCATGCATGCGTGCATGCATGTATGCTCCCGAGGATTGGAGCGTGAATCCACACATGGTGGCCTAATGTTTTAGGGGGCCATTTGTGTGTTTGGGTTTAGGAGATAATGCAGGCTGATTGCTTTCAGGCATAACATGTTTGATTCCACCTGACATTGTTAGCGCATTGCATTCAACCAGGCATTCACAAACTAACATTCAACAGTTAACCTTTGTCTCCTCCCAATCATTCCCATCCCTCCCTTATCCCCCCCTCCACCGGTCACTCTCAGATGCACCAGTGAACGCTTTCGATTTCCTCAAGCCCCTCATAGCAGCATATGGGGGCACTCAGCCCTACATCCGCCTCTCACTAAGCTCCGCCCTCTCCCTTGCCTGGCTGACTGAGGGCATCTACCGACTTCTCTGCCCACTGTTACGAGCTGACTGGTTACCACAGCCACTGGTGCTTTTGCCAGCAGAAGTGCATCAGGTTAGTTCTTGTGACCAGTGTTCTAGGTACTTCCTCCCTCCCTGTCTCATAGTATGATAATTCTGTTTTAGCTTACCTGAATCCTCTGTTGGCTCTTGGTAAGTTTGACTATTTTTTTCTGCCTCATAGTATGCATGTATCCCATCTCACTGATATTTTACCCATCGACCTTCATCCTCCCCTCCTTCCCATCCCATCTCCTCCCCACCAGCTCGCAGTACACTACGTGTTTTCAACCGCTAAGGCAAAAGCAGAGCTCGGATACCAACCCATAGTGGACCCACGGCATGCCATGGATGCCACCAGGTTCTACTGGCGGCGCCGGGCTCAAAGAGATGTCCCCAAGCCACCACTCATAGTGTGGGTTCTCGTCCCTCTGGGACTGGTTTTGCTCTACTTATCGGCTTTTTATCCCCGGACGTCTCTTCCCCTGCCCGTACGCTGGGTGCAAGACCTGGGTGTTTTTGTTTTCATGTCCCGGAATATGCTGCAGACGGTATGGTGGACGGCGCTCGCCATCCATCTTATGGAGGCGAGTGTTGCTTGGATGGTGGCTCGGAATTCAGGAGGTTCGGGGTCACGGAATGGGGTGGAGGGTTTGGAGTGGGACGATGGGGAGGATGACAAGGTGGGAGCGTGGAGTGAAAGGGAGAATGCTTTGCAGTGGTTCGTGCAGACCTTTTTGTTTGGGTTCTGGTCGCTTCGGTTGCTCATGCGGCGTGTGGTGTGGAGGATGGTCGAATGTGAACACAAGCAGGAGTAATTAGGTGCAACCTCCAAAATACATGATCTGTCAGATTTCTATCAATTGAGGGAGTTTCCTCTTGCCTCTATTGGTAGAGTTGCGAATGTTGGGGTGCTAGTTGTGTAATATCATAGAGGCACCGCAGAGCACCGCGAGAAAATAACAGCAGTTGAGACTCATCGTCCCGTGCCCAGTTCAGACCTCAGCTCACAGTTCCCACATCGCAGCTCACGAGTTCAGCTCCCCCACTCACACCAGCATGGAAAAATAATTGCCAGCTAGCTTCGTCGACATCCTCCTCCCATTCAAAATTATTCCGTTTTATTCCCTTCAATTCTAGGCCCGCTTGGCTGGTAGTGTTTCGCTATGGCTGTAGCAGGTGACGAAGGCGCTGGCTGTAGCGGGGCAGATGCTGTGTCGAGGTTGTCCGACGAGGAGCTCTGTCTCGTCCTTGATCGCCTCGAAAGCGCCGACGACATCGTCAGAGCATCTGCTGCGTGCAAGCGCTGGAAACGGCTTGCTTTTCGGGTAATTCTCGAGACACGACACGGTACACCGTTTCCGTTCTCGTTGTCTCGTAATGTCGTGGTACAATCTCCCTCCCTTTTTCTGCTCGTTCTATGTTTGAATTGAACGAATGCCGTCGCAATTCCAGGGTCCGGCGCTGGTTTTCTCGGAATTCAAGAAACCTTTTCCGGAACGAACCCTCACTCAGCTAGTGCTCAAGACCTCAAATCTGCAAACGCTTGTTGCGGATTTCCACGCACTTTCAGCCGCACGCTATCATGAGACTTCCGACGAGCCGCCTCATGGAAGCATAATCAGTGAGCACTACCTTCTGATGTGGCTTCGCCAATGCCCTAATCTGCTAAGGCTCTACATGTCGTCATATGACGGAGTCTCCAGGTCCCAGTGGCTGAGACATATCATTGCCCATGCTCCAAACCTCACAGTCCTCTCTCTGCGAGGTTGCGATTTTTTCCAAGATTCCGTGGATTCGGTATTTTTGCTGCAGAATCTGGTAGTATTGGACCTGGGATGCCTCAGCATCAAGAGGGACTGGGGCACCCGTCTGAAAAGTTTGGTCAAGCTTCGGAGATTGTGGTTGATGGTGGATAAGGACTTCAAAGGCGATTTTTCAAGCCGAACACTGGAGTTTCTGGACCTGAAATCCGAGACACGGGGGGACGAGAGGTACGAAACGGATCTTGGGATGGGGCTTCAATTGGAGCTGGACCTCCCTGTTCTGAAACACCTCGAGGTGGATGGTATGTCGAGGCTTCTTGTGCGTAACTCTCCCTTGCTCAAGCACGTCGAGCTTGGCTGCTCCAAGTGCGACTGTACTTTTACAAATCCTTCAGCGGCTGTTCGTTTTCTCGCTCTGCGGATGCGAGACCCTGATGAGATGCTCCAACCCGAATCTCTGTTTTTTCAAAGTCCCAGCAGTATTCAGGAGCTCCATCTTCAAGGGCGGATGCAATGTCCTTCAGGATTTAGTCTTCCGTCTCTCAGATCCCTCCACATGTCACTCGAGCCTTATCCTTTTGACACAACACGGGCATTTCTGCAGTGTGCTTCAGGAACCACCTCCATTGAATGGCTCATTGACAAGGAACTGCATTCTGTCTGGGATGATGAGGATGCTTGTTCCGGAAACGACTTTGCAACATCCTTGGGTGATGTTGTAAGGCGCTGCCCAACCCTCAAGACGGTGAAGGTAGTCTTTTTGGAGTTTCAGTATTCCTTTTTTGCTGTTGCAAATGGTCTCATCAAACTGGCTAAAACCTTTCCACGAGTAGACTTTTCCCTCCATCAGGATAACGATTGATGGTAGCTTTGCTGGATTGTTTCCATTCTTTAGTTGCCTTTTTTATTTTCCGCTGAGCTTTAGTCCCGAATGTGATCAGCAGGACGTGCAGCAACATGAAGTAGGCTCACCTGTCTTAGTGTCTTTCTAATGCATCGTATATTCATAGTTGTGGCGTGGCGTCATAAAAAAGGTCGCTTTGAGACAAAGTATCTTTTGAACAATGCGCTGTAGTTCATTTAGGCACGAGTGTACTGCTGGAACCTTTATCGAACCCAGGCAGCAATGTTTTCCTGTCCCCGCGCCTGTGAATGGAAGCATTGCCAGCCGGGAAAACACTTCCTAACGTGCTGCAGCAGCTACGTCAGGCATCTGAAGCTCATTTTACAACTCTACTGCAATTCTAGGTCCGCATGCACGCTGGTGAAGGTCGTAGGACGTAGGTCGTGTTGCCGTTTCAGTTCCGCTTGTTCTGTTATGACTGGAGCATGTGCTGCGGATGTAGGTCGTGGTGGAGAGGATGGTCTATCGAGGTTTTCCGACGAGGAGCTTCTTCTCATCCTTGATTATCTCTCAAGCGCCAAAGACATCATTCGTGCATCGGCGACGTGCAAGCGTTGGAAACGACTAGCTTTTAGGGTGAGTTCCGATGCGATTGGCTTCCGTTACGGATTGTCAGTGTGTTCCAAATGCCGTTTGTTTGATTTCCTATCTCGTTCTCTCTTCTCATTGTTCCGCCCCCGTTTTCTAGGGTCCATCGCTGGAGTTTGTGGGGTTCAAACGGACTTCACCGGAACGAGCACTCACCCAGTTGGTGCGAAAAACTTCAAACTTGAGCTCACTTTCTGCTGTATTTGATCAAGCTACAGTCGATGGCAGCGAAACCTTGAACCTTCATGATAAAAAACCGTCCGAGCACTATCTTCTGATGTGGCTTCGCCATTGTCCCAATCTGACAAGGCTCTGCTTTATGGCATCTGAAGGCTTTGCCAGGCCTCGATGGCTAAGCCATATCGTCTCCCATGCTCCGGATCTTGTGGTCCTCTCCCTTAACGGCCCGGATTTCCAGCAAGATTCCCTGGATATAGTGACTTCACTGAAGAGTTTGGAGGAGTTGGAGTTGGAATGTCCGCGGCTTAAAAGTGATTGGACGACCTGCCTCACTAGCCTGGGCTACCTTCAGAAGTTGACTTTGACGGTGGATGCGAGCTTCAGAGACACGCTTTCGAGCCAAAGATTGAGGTTCCTCTGCCTGAAGTCTGACTCCAGGCGGGAGAGGTACATCCAAGTTTATCGAACGGGGTTCGACTTGAAGCTGGATCTTCCTGCTCTGGAAACCCTCCAGCTGGATTGTGTGGCAAGGTTGCTGGTGAGCAACTCTCCCTTGCTTAAGCATGTGGAGGTTGACTGTCTGAATAATGATGTGAGTTTCCTGAATCCGTCTCGAACCCTCCACTTTCTTTCTTTGCGGATGCAAAGCCTTGATGAGGAGCTCCACCTCCAGCCTGAACCTTTTTTGCTGCCAAGTTTGAACAGTATTCAGGAGCTTCGTCTTCAGGGGCGGATGAGTCATCTCTCAAGTTTTGTGCTTCCGGGTCTTAAGTCCCTCCACATGTCACTTGAACCTTATCCTTTTCAAGGAATGAGGGACTTTATGAAGCATGCTCCAGGAATTACGTCCATTGAATGGTCCATTGCTGCTCGGCTGGACAGTGCGTGGTATCGGAAGGATGGCCCTTCTCCAGATGAGATTGCAAGAGCCTTGGGTGAGATCATAGCATTGTGCAAATCCCTCAAGAGCGTGAGGGTTGTCTTCATGGACAGTATGGATGTCCTCTTCACTATTGCAAACGGCATCATGAAACTGCAGAAAGCCTTTCCACATCTGGATGTTTCTCTTCACAAGGATTTTGAGGTCGAGGAGTCTGATAGTGACCTTGGGTCTGACAGCGAGCTTGAGTCTGATAGCGAACTTGAGTCTGATAGCAATTCTGATTGACGGGTTGCTTTCATCCGATCTCTTTCTATACCAACGATTTTATATGGCAGCGGCACTCTGCTTTCAGTACAAGCTTTCTTGTGGCTTGAGGGATCAGGGGGACATGAATTATGCACCCTTAGCAAGAGCCCTAGGTGGTGGTATCGGTTTGTGCAAGAAAGGTGATTATTTTACCAGAGTTTTTCTCAGTCTACTCCGTAGGAAGTCAACGATATTTTGTTATGTTCTTGGTGTAACAATAACGAAGCACCACTTCTCCAGGGCCGTTTCGTCGTTTGGGGCCCCATACAGACAGGTGGAAACGGAACTTGGTCGGCTGGGAACTAGAAGGAAGCTTTTCGCGTAACGCTGCGAATTACCCCAGCATTCCGTTTTGCGTCGTTTGTCGCAGCTCGGCGGCGCATTTGGGTTTTTACCTGTGGGCTGTGTCGAAGTTACGAAGGATTTGGAAAATTGACGAACTGACGAAAACGGCTTCGGCAGGTTTCTCCAAGTTTCGAAACGCGATTGCACGTACAAATAGTGTCTGTCGCATCATTTCTCCAATGCATCTGAGTCCATTGATATCGAGTTTCGGCTGAGGTGGATGGTGTTGAATTGTTTTCGCCAAAACGCTCTCCGTCTGATAGGTGATCCGGAAACGTGACGCTGCCTGCAAAGTGTGAACACGCCCGATGGTGGGCCATATCCAGCTTGCAGTTCTTGTGTGCCTGGGATCTCTCGTCGCTGGTGCAGCTTCATCGCCAGGTTTGTGGTGCCGGCTTGTGCCCTCATTTCAGTAACAGTTCCTGCTACTGATCCTCCATAATCCCGTCTGTCCGCGCTTTCAGTCGACCGCACCAATTTCGTCCAGCCAGTTCTCCGTATTCCAGACGTGGAATCATCATCTCGTCTAGGTCAGTCCTTTTCTGAGACCACATGATCAGAAGAATCGTACATTCATTGCAGCCACCTGGGTTTTCCCACGCGACACTGTCGCAGCGAGACTCGCACAGAATTTCCACCCGTGATGCTTCCTGATCTCGTGTCTACTCCTCTGACCCTTTAGTTATCTATCGAACGCGCCGAATGCTGTTTTAATCTGCTTCTCAGGATCCACGCGCCGCTCCCTGCTCATAAAGGCGTCGCCTAATCGCGACACACCATGTGCTACCAAGCTAACCTGGTGGAACCAGACGGATTACACCGGCGCGAAATGGGTGACTTCCGCTCCCAGCCCGACAGTCGGGTGCCTCAATATCCCCTTTAAGTACCTCCCCGCTACGAAGTACGGATCGCTCAAGCTCGAGTGGTACGCGCCGACAAGCGCCATGAAACGCGACATGTACTTCGTCACTTGCAAGGAGGTGAGCACCAGCAAGCAATAGCAGACATCATTTACTGTACTTCGTGCAGGCATGAACTGTAGATTATAATCTATAACGATTGTATCCTTATGATGCTCCGGCAGGTGCACTTCTGGCCAACGAGGAATTGCGAAGTTGGTAACACGGACTACCTCACATATCCTACCGACCACAGCCCTCCTTCGCCAACCAGGCGACCGTAAGCACCCTTCGTCCCGTCACAGAGAGCTCCGTGTCTTGACTCAGTCACGTCTTTTACGCCACTTTTACGCCTTTTATCCAAGGCTGACAGCCACCTCGACCTGTCGTTTTGCAGGAAGTTCCCCAGAGCGCCTTTCCGGCCTCACTCCATCAGCTGCATCTACAGTAAGTCGCATTATATGCACAACAGCTTTAACATTCCTTTGTGTTGGCCCCTGCTTATCTCCTCTGGGGGCTCTTCGGTTGGTCGTAGGTTATTTGTGGCCTGCAAAGGCTGAGACGCTGCATCGCAGTGCTAATCATGGTCTGGTTATTTTCTCTCCAAATTGCATCTTCAAACCGGCTGTTAATGCAGACCAGGACCTCAACAAGCTGTACTCTTGTCCGCCTAACAGCACGCTGGATGGCACTTGGGCCGGCGCCAAGTGTTGGTGCAATTCGGGGTTCGTGGAGAGAGGTGGCAAGTGTGTTGGTGAGTACGCGTTAATGTCTTTTCAGTCGAGCACCAGCGCGCAAATGGTTGCGATCTTCGCACAAAACTTCGGCTGTCTGAGTTACAAGATACTACCCATCCTTCTCTCATCTCGATTCACCTCCGGCTGTCTCGTTTTTGCTACCCTTCCGCCAGATGTTTGCACGCCTCTCAATTGTGGATCCCATGCCAACTGCTATGTCAAGAACGGAGCTGGGGTGTGTAACTGCACTGAGGGTTACCGCCGTGTGAAAGGAAAGTGCGAGGCTATAGGCCACTCGGATTTCCTTGATCCCCACAATGCTGCTCGTGCTGCCATCGAGCTACCCGCTCTCAAATGGAGTGACTCATGTAAGTGCAGTGGTTACCTTCCCTCCACTCTTCTCTTTCCACTGAAATTCTCCAGCCATTTTGAAAGGCGGTCGGGGTTCTCTCATTCGGTGGAGATGTCTGTTTCCATGTCCTTTAAGCTGCTGCTCTATTACCACTCCATCCCCCACAGTGGCAACGAAAGCGGAGGCATGGGTGGCACATTTGGGAAAGATTGACAACAAATGCAGGACAATGAACCGATCTTCTGCACTTTCCAGCTATGGCCAGAACCTTTTGAGCACCTTTGGGATTGGGCAATGGGCTCCCAGCGAAGTGGTGAACGTGTGGCTGGGTGAGAAGAAGTTCTACACCTACTCTCCAGTGCCTGCTGGATGCCAAACCGGCAAATTCTGCTCCCACTACGTTCAAGTAAGAAATCTCTCATTTCCTGTTCAACTATGTCTTCCGTTCACTACTCTTGCAGGTCCCACTGACTCTAGTTCCTGAAATCACTCAATACTGCGGTTACTTCAATGTTTCCTTTTTGCTTTTCTCGCCCACGTTCCTTTTTATTTGATCATTGTGCTGGAACTCTTTCTGATGTACCCGTAACAGGTTGTTGCGAGGAAGACAATGGACGTGGGTTGTGGCTCCTATACATGTGGCAAAGCAGGCACCATGTTGTGGGCATGTTTGTATTGGCCTAAGGGCATCGAAAACAAGAAGTACCCGTATTAGGTCGTATTATGTTTTATGAGATCAATGGGGGTAGTGAAATATTGTGGAATGGGAACGGAATTTGATTTTACTACACCATGTTAATAGAATTAATGTGAAGAGTGTGAGATGTTTCGCAAAAACTGTAACGATTGGAAGAAGCGTGGTAAATTTGCGAAGCTGAATGCCGTGTAACCACTCCAGTACCCGCCCGCCCCCAAGCGCCCCTGGCGCATCTGTGCTGGCGCTTATGGTTCACGCCTTTCGCGGCGCAGGTTTCGTCAGGGTGCAATGAGGCCGGACAGTGCGCCCTCTGGCTCGGGCTGAGCCAGAGCGCGAAACGGAAGGGCCTGAACTGCGACAACTTTCCTGGTTTAGTGCGGAAGCCGGCCCTGTTCCACAGGCTGAGTTGGCCTTGTTCATCTGACACGGGCCTTCTACTAAAGTTTTCACCAATCAAATTCAACGGTGGCTTGATTTGCCAACGGCCGAGTGTGGTCAGGCGCCCCTGTTTGACATTGTGAAACTCAGTTTTGAGGAAGTGGAACTAGATAAACAAGGGGAACGGAACAGGTCCTAGGTAACTGCGGGTCAATCGAGAGCAGGGAAGGTTGGGTTCAAGCGTGGATGACTAGGAATTGTTGAAGTTCGAGTTGGTCACTACTTTCTAGTCCAAGTTGTCCCGCTTCAGCGAAGAAACGAGGCTGGGTGACTGACGAGCTACAACTATCGATAGGAGGTATCCTGCCGAGAGACGGAAACAGGAAGTTGATATCAAGTTATAGCATCACGTCGGCAGGCGAATCAGTTGTAGTATTTCTTTGTAGCCAGTTCTCCATTGGCGGCTATCTCCTACAGGTTGCTGCTGTTTGCGCCCATTAGAAAATTAGGGAGTTGCGTCTGCTAGACGGCCCGCACAACTTTCCGATTCACGAAACTTTAAGGTAAGCATAATCGAGGGGACATATGAGAGGCGGAATCCTATGCATGCTTAGTGAGACAGTAAATCCAATATTCGCTCGCAACAGGACTCTTTTTTCCTAAATAATAAACACAATTACTTCTAAAGCAAGTCGCCTCGATCTTAGTCAGAGTCTGCTCCCCCTTCGAGTCTAACGTTTGTTGGTCGGATTCACCACCTTCCTTTAGCTAACGTGCAAAAAATCGTTTAAGATTTACTAGGACAAGGACCATCAGGCCGGATACTAAACTCGCACTAAATATATCTTTTGGTTCTCCCGCTTTTCCCTATCTTCTTTCTTTACTCACCACAACCACCCTCAGCCCCAAACATGGGGACCCAGGAACAAGAGTCGACATCGAGCGTGCTTCCCACGACCGCGGAGCTCTCGGCTCCACCCCCGGACATATCCCCAGGAGCTAAGCACAAGAAGAAGCGTCGGCTCAAGGTGAAGCTTCCGGGAATCGGCGAGCTATCATGGAAGCAGATGTGGCTGGATTCCATGGAGTGGATGTCCAACCCTATCAACGCCGCGTCCTTCTTCTGGTGCATCCTCGCTACGTTCGCCTTCGTTATAGTCGTCATGTGCGAGCTGGGGTTGATGAAGACCTATATTCCTGACCACGAGACGCTGGAGGAGGTTAAGGAGGTATCCACGCAGATCCTGAACGCGCTCTTCGTGCTCATGTGCCTCATCTGGCATCCCGTCTTCATGCGCGACGTGCTGCTGCTCATCCGGTGGAAGCCCAAGGACAAGTGGGAGATTCGCGGGGAGTACTGCAAGGAAGGGAAGCGGAAACCCAACGACCGCACGCACATGGCGATTGTGGTCTTCTGGCTGCAGCTGACGTGCTGGGCGACGTACGCCTTCGCAGCGGTTTTCCTCGTTTACCCTATGGGTGAACGGCCGATGGAGCTCCTGTTGATCACAACAGTGGTGTCGTTCATTGCACCGGCGTTTGCGTTCCTGCATCTGCTGCTGAGCCCGCTGAGCAAGGACTATGACATTGTCCGTGTTGGCGAGGGGGACCAAGCCAAGGTGCAGATGTACCAGCGCAGTGCGTCGTTCATGGTGTCTCACACCAAGGTGGAGGACGCGCAATGGGCCGGGTCCGTGTTCCCTGGATGCTGCTCTGACACTCGAATTGCATGCCTGAGCTTCTTCTTCCCCTTCTGCATGTTTGGTTACAACATGGAGCGGCTAGGGTTTGGCCACCGGGTCGTGCACACGTTCATGTTCATCATCATGCTCGTGGGGCCGGTGTTTATTTTTGAGCTCTGCGCTGCTGCCGTGCACCTGCACGTGTCCAAGAACATCATTTTCTATTTCGGCATTGCCATTGCGATCACCGGGCTTGGTTATGGCGGTGCATGGCGAGTGAAGATTCGGGAGACTTATAATCTTCCTGGGTCGCGCTGGTGGTGCGGGAGCAAGCGGTTGACAGATATTTGCACATGGATGTGGTGCTGCTGCTGTGCACTGTGCCAGGAGGTCCGGACTGCTGATCAGTATCAGGTGGTGGAGAATTCCTTCTACAGACGAGCAGGAGACATTGAGAGTGGAGCAGGTGCCAAAGCACCTGTTGGGGCGTTGGAATCAGTTCCTGATGCTGAGGAGGAGGTTGAGGAGGATGAGGATGACTACGATGACGATATGGAAGTTCCTGCTAAGCAGACAATGCAGAAATGAGGTTGCCGTGTTATCTTGCGGAAATGATGGCCCCAAGACAAATTTGGGACATAATGGAACCCTTGATTCCAGCTCTTTCATTATCTTTGCGTAGTTATATGCTGCTCCTTAGCTTGTTTTCTGTTGCATATTGTTGCAGAAGTGTTACATAACATTTCCAATCCAATGGAGATTCCCAATTAAATGAAGGAGCGATATTTTGTTAGCCAACGCATATCGTCGGGGTCTTCAGCCGGTAACACCATCGGCGTGTCCTCGCTATGAGGAAGGCTGCCATCCTGATGCAATCTCGACCGGCCGGCTCGCTGGAGGTTTATTGAATAGTCGCCGTGAAGCTGTGAATTCAGGTGGCTTTCTAGGTTACTCTGACACCCTAGCATCGTGCTTTTCTTCCTTAGTTCCGTGCCTGGTGCTCTCTGTCAGGACATACATACCTCGCTTTTCGCCTGTGGTACCGTGACCTTTGTTCGAGAAGCTTGAAGGACCGGTCGGTAGATGGGGATTGACTACTACGACGTATTGGAAGTCCAAAGGTCCGCGAGTGATGACGACTTGAAGAAAGCGTATCGGAAGCTTGCCATGAAATGGCACCCTGACAAGAATCCGGACAACAAGAAAGCAGCCGAGGCTAAGTTCAAGCAGATATCGGAAGCGTACGAGGTACATCCTTCACCTAGCACTTGCTCTTTAGCCTTGTAGCTTTCAGGGATCTAGACTTAACTCCAGAACCTGTCACGTGCAGGTGTTAAGTGATCCCGAGAAACGACAAATCTACGATCAATATGGCGAGGAGGGTTTGAAGGGCCAGGCTGCGCCAGGAGGCGGTTCGTATAGCAGTCATGGCGGTCATTCGCATGGCAACTTCCGTTTTAACCCACGAAGCGCTGAGGACATATTCGCAGAGGTCTTCGGCGGAAATAGTCCGTTTGGAGGGGCTTACGGCCCCGGATTTGGTGGGATGGGTGGCATGGGTGGGATGCCAAGCGGTCGCTTCAGTCGCATGGGGAGCACCAACGGTATGGGAGGGGGGATGCAGTTTCAGGAAATGTTCGGAGACCCTGGCATGTACGGTGCTCAGGCTTCGTCCGCATCGGCTGGTCCCAGGAAATCGCCACCTCTGGAGAACAAGCTTCCGTGTACACTAGAGGAGCTGTACTCTGGGTCTTCACGAAAGATGAAGATCTCACGCAACGTCATAGATGCAAACGGGTAGGCCGTCTTCCATTTTCATCCGTTTTGTCAGCGACACAGATGCTCGTCACACCCTCTTCTCCGACCCTAGCGTCCTTGCTCGCTCTGCCGTGTCTTCTCCCCGTCCTCTGCCTTCCCTTGCCAGCTTCCCTTTGCCTCGTATCTCTTCTTCGCTCTTGCAGGCGACCAAAAACGGTGGAGGAGATCTTGACGATTGATGTGAAGCCAGGCTGGAAGAAGGGAACAAAGGTCACTTTCGTCGAAAAGGGTAATGAGGAGCCTGGAATGATCCCAGCAGACATAGCCTTTGTGATTGACGAGAAACCTCATGGCAGGTTCACACGGGATGGGAACGACCTGATCTACACATGCAAAGTCCCACTTGTGGACGCTCTTACTGGCTACACGGCATCCATCACTACCCTTGATGGCCGAAAACTTTCTTTCCAAGTGAATGACATCATCAAGCCAGGGTTTGAAAAGGTGGTGGCTGGAGAGGGGATGCCGACTAAAGGGACAAAGGGTAACATGAGAGTCAAGTTTGAAGTGCAGTATCCGTCCCGGTTGACAGCAGAGCAGAAGACAGCGATCAGACAGGCTTTCGACAAAAGCTGACCCGGTGAGTGTTGCTTGAAGAAATTCCAGTTTCCATTGGTTATGCTTCCCATTCGTGTGAATCTGCTCTTTATTCGTTTCCTGATGTGTGCGTTTCTTGTGGTGCATGCTACCCACAGCACGTGCAGGTTCTCTATGCAGACATCCAGTTAGTGTTCTCAACGCTTGTGCATCCCCTCTGGGATGATTGGAGCAGCATTGTCAGCCAACAACCATTGGCGCATTGTAGCCTGTCACTAGTCTAGGTGCACTGCGGTGCCCTGTGCATGGCAGGTCACTGTATTTGCTGTTCCAGTCTAATGTGCATAGCAATTTTTGCAGGTATCCTGTCATTCACAGGTATTCCCCAGCATACTGAATAGCAGTGATTGTTGCGAAACAATCAGGGCTTTGCCCAACAGAGTTGTGGCGCTGCAAACAGACAGAGGGGATGAGGCAGTGTGGGAGGTAGGAAGGAGGTGCCACATTTGTGCACCACTGAAATCCTGCTCCCACCTCACCAATCTCTGGAGTTCTGGCAGGCAAAGAATCTCTGCCTCACCAAGCTTCAGAGCCAAAGAGGTCGCTCTGTGAAGCCGAGAAGGACAAGCAGAGGCGCCACTAAGGATGTGCATGGCAAGGTTGAATAATGTAGAACCCAAGAGGTGCAGAGAGCTGAACAACAGACTTTCTCGCAGTTGGCTTTCCTGTTCTGTACATCAACTTCACAAGGGGAGGAGCCAGCCGAGTAGGCCTTGCTTCAAGCTCCGGCACTACATGTAACAGCTGTAAAGCACATCACACTCGAGGTAACTGTTCTCTTTTCTCAAAAGCTACAATGCAGAACCTTTGTGGAGGACATCCTTTCTCCTGCCCTCAGTTAAGCTGGTGCGGGCCGGGCCTGGTCCAACCAGCGGCTCTTCCTCATCCTCAGACACCCTGATCCACTCAAGCAGGACAACATCACACGCCCAACCTTATAAGGAAGTGACTCACGCACTCACATGGAAAACCATGTGTCTTTGAGAGGATCACATGGCTTAAGGAGAAACAAGCAGGCTCAGTCAGCAGCAATGCACTGCCCTGAAACAATAACGCGGAATCATGTGCGGCATAATGCATTCAATGCAGGCATGACACCATGGAGAGATAAGGCTCACCTGGGCTCGGAACTCTCTTCTCCACGGTTCCAGAGTGCACTCAGCTCCCCTCGTCGCCACGCCAGCACCACAATCACGCCTGCCACATCATGGGGACAAGAAGACGATAGTTGACATCGTTAATCATGATTGCACGGGTCCATTGTAGGAACACAGGAGTAACAGGCTGGGGAGAGTGAGAGAGGGAGCAAGAGATGCGAGCAATGGAGAAACCGTGGTTGTTAAAATGGGGAAGGATGAAAGGGGGACTGGGGAGGGGTCAGAGAACGGAATCTGGAAAATAAGTTACCGAGAGTGCAAGGGACAAGGTAGAGCAGAGCTGGCTGTCCGTTGCCGTTCATAAGAAACAGCCCAGCAAAAGTGAGCAGCAGGCCTGAAGGAAGGGCAGACAAGCGGGATCAAGGTAAGCTGGCAGCAAGGAGGATGCAGCAAGGCATGCAGGTCAGCAGGCATGAATATACCTGCTTGCTGATAGCAATGCACGACACAATAAAAAGCAAGGCAAAAGCGTGCACGGTCGCCATCCGAAAGAGGCATCATTACAAGTAAGGATATCTCACCTGCTGCATAGCCCAGAATTGCAGGCATGTAGTATCCATCCATTCCCATCTTTTTTGTAATGCAATCATATCTGAAACACACAAAACACAACAAGGCAGACAGGAGAAGAAGACGGCTCTGGAGAGGACAAATGCAGCAGAGCAGGGCAGTATGACTGACTTTTGAGTCGACTCAAAAGTCAGCTCTGAAGAGGACGAATGCAGCAGAGCAGGGCAGTATGACTGAAAGTAGAACATGCAAGCGAAAGTCACTCTGCTTCAATGAATCTAGCAGCAAGGATCCTGGACTGCCTAAAAGCTGGAGTTAACTTAGGAAAGCAGAGTTCCTAAGAGCAAGGAGGAAGACAACGAGTCACCTTCTAGTGAAGACAATGAGAAGCCCTGGCAGCACGACATCCCCAAACCCCAGCACGGAGTATCCCCCCCAGGGGTCCATGATGTGAGGCACCTTCAGCAGCATGGGTATGCCTTCCCCTCCCGTGCGCTCCCCTGTTGCCACCTGGAATGACAGCACCGAGGAAAGGAGACACAGAACCTCTAATGGGATTGCCACCTTTGTACAATGGCGCACACATAACAGAGAAGAAAGTAGAAAGGATGCCTGGGAATAGATCCCAAGTGGGCAAACACGACGCTTAAGGTGAATCTTGATCACCACCCTCTTACATAAACCAAGCTGAGCCCTCAATGTACGAACGGCCCTCGAAGCACGGAGAGCTCTCGAAACACGGAGCGCCCCTGATGCTTGCAGCAAACTGACCTCGATCATGACGCTCTTGCCGTTGAAGAAGAGAGGCGAGATGAAGACCCAAAAGATGTCGTAGAAGAAGGCGAGCGAGAGCAGTGCCGTGGACACCTGCGGAAAGATGGACGGTGGGGAGGGATGGACAGCAGGGAGGGATGGAGAGAGAGAGATTGATGAAGAGAGAGAGAACAAACCCCTGCAATGCCCCCCCTGGATGCAACCACCTGATTGGAAGGAAACCAAACACATGGGACATAGGGGCACGGCGAAGAGGTGTGAGACAGGAAGAGACGAAAGGGCTGAAATCGCCAAGTCAGGCAAACACGTGGGACACACAAGCTCATGGACGGCACATGTGACTCTTCAAGGGTGCAAGGAGCAACGGACTGACCTTGATGTTTGGCAGCCGCACAGCCTGCAGCACAGTGATCATGAGAGCGATGCCCTGAAGGGGGGAGAGGGACACGCAAGAAAACGGTCGATTTTGAGGCGCCTCAGAACTGACCTTGACGTTTGGCAGACGCACTGCCTGCAGCAAAGTGATCATGAGAGCTATGCCCTGAAGGGAAGGAGAGGGAGACACAAAAAAAAGAAATTCTAAGTCGATTTCAGAGTCATAATGTTGGGCAGACGCACTGCCTGCAGCACTGTGATCATGCGAGCTATGCCCTGAAGGGAAGGAGAGGGAGACACAAAAATAAGAAATTCTAAGTCGATTTCAGAGTCATAATGTTGGGCAGACGCACTGCCTGCAGCACTGTGATCATGCGAGCTATGCCCTGAAGGGAAGGAGAGGGAGACACAAAAATAAGAAATTCTAAGTCGATTTCAGAGTCATAATGTTGGGCAGACGCACTGCCTGCAGCACGGTGATCATGAGAGTGATGCCCTGAAAGATAGGAATGCGGTGGGGCATGTAGTGGGAGACGAGAGGGGTATGCAGGTGTGGGGTGGTGAGGGTGCAACAAAAAAGGACGGCAGGGGAAGGGGGCCATTGAGAAGCGAGAGTTATAGCAGCAAATAAGAGTACACCTGGACTGGACATAACCATAACATTCGTTACCTACCACCACAGGCTAAAAAGCTGGCCAGGCCGGCTGCCTCCCCCCTTCCCCTTCCCCCCCCCCCTCTCTCCTCTCTCCAATTCTCGCCCTCGTACCAGAATGTCTTGTGCCACCCATGCGTCGGGGTGGTTGCGGAAAATAGCCCAGGAGACGGTGAGAGCAAGGGAGAAGAGGAAGGAGGCGAGGGAGAGCCAGGAGACGAAGCCAAGGCAGGGCAGGGAGGCACCGAGAGACGACTGGAGGGGGAAGATTCTGCAAGGGGGGGGAGGGAGAGGTAAAGAGGCGAGAGAAAGGAAGGGGGGTCGGGGGTTTTGGGAGGGGAAGGGGAGGGAAGGGGGAGAGGGTAGAGACTCAATAAAGGGCAAAAGCTTGAGTCATGGAGATTTTTTATCATCGCAGATGGGCGACACAGGGTGTGCTTTATGAGGTCAAAGATGAAGGGAAAGTGAGGAGAGGTGATTTATGGAAAAGGAGGAGAGGGGAGATGAGGGAAAGGAGAGGGGAGAGGAGGGAAAGGAGAGGGGGACGAGGGAAAGGAGGGGGGGGTGCGGGAAAGGAGGGGAGATGAAGGGGAAGGAGAGGGGGATGAGGGAAAAGGAGGGGAGACGACAGAACCCACCTGTAGAGCAGTGATGACAAGCACACGTGTAGTGACTGCAAGCAGCGATGACAGGAAGAGCAGCAACAGTGGGAAGAGCAATAAACAGAATAGAGAGGGGATAGAAAAAACATATGAGTGGAAAGTAGAAAGGGACAGACTACCAGGAGGAAAGTTGGAGAAGGAAGAGGAACCTTATTCTCGGGCTCCCCTTACCCCAGGCTATGCCAGGTTTTTTAGAATTCGAAAAAAGCTAACACAGAGAAGGAGAAGGAACCTCTTGCACAGGCTCCTCTACCCCTATGACAGCGAAGCAGAAGGTCGCACGAATGATGTAGAAGACAAGCGGTAACATGCGAAAGAAAGGGAGGGGCACATGAGGTACATGCGAAAGAAAGGGAGGGGCACATGAGGTACATGTAGGGACGAGCTTGAGACGTCCCAGAACGCATTCAAGCCCCTCACTCACCTCCAAGGCAGCGAAGCAGAAGAGTGCGAGGATGATGTAGAAGACGACAGGTGACATGAGGAAGAAGAGCAGCAGCAGCATGACGGACGACATCACCACGAACCCCACTGCCGACCCCACCGACATGTCAAACGCGCCTGACGCCTCACCCTGGGGCTGGTGAGGGGAGGGGGGGGGGGAGGAGGGGGATACACACACACAGCAAGGGGAGACAATAATCGTGTGAGAAGTGAAAGGGGCAAACCCACTGCCGACCCCACTGACATGTCCAACACGCCCGACGCCTCGCCTGAGGCTGGTGTGGGGAGGGGAGGGATGAGCAAGACGATGTGGGAAAGACAGGACAAACAGTAAAGCTGACCCCACTGACATGTCCAACACGCCTAACGCCTCGCCCTGGGGCTGGAGTGGGGAGGGGAGGGAAAGGCAGAGAGGCGTATTGCAAGAGGACAGGGGGACGAGCGCTGGCAGTGGCCACACTGACATGTCGAACGCCCCTGACGCCTCGAGCTGGGGCTGGTGACGGGATAAGGGCACATACACCAAGACAGAGGCAGAGGAAAAGGGGGGGGAGATACAGGCTAAAGTTAGACCCCACTGACATGTCGTACCACCTAATGCCTCGCCCTGACGCTGGTGCGGGAGGAGACACAGCATGGGAAAGAAGGGTCACACATGGAGCAGAGCAGATACACCATGTAAAAGCTCACCCCACCGACGTGTCGTAACCACCTGACGCTTGCCTTGGGGCTGGCGACGGGATAACGACACAGAGCACGGGGAGGCTCGGAATTATGTAGGAGATGACGGGGCCACTGCCCACTGTAGCCTCATCCTGTACACGCCTCAAAACCACCTGTTTACTCCCCGCTCCCCCCACCTGCTCTGCCCCCGACTGCCCGGCACCAGCCTTCCCCTCCAACGCCGCTTTCTCCTCTGCTGCAGCCCCCGCGGACGCACCCACAAGGGACAGCAGCGCGAGAGCCCAGAGCACGAGCTCGGCTCAGCAGTTACCACCTTGTGGTGTCCAGCCACTCAGCATGCCCCCCCCCTCACCTGCTCTGCCCCCGACTGCCCACTGCCAGCCTTCAATTCCAACGCCGCTTTCTCCTCTGCTGCAGCCCAGGCTGAGGCCCCCACAAGGGACAGCAGCGCGAGAGCCCAGAGCACGAGCTCAGCGAGATCGAGGAGAGAACGGGGAGGGGCGTAGAGGGATATGGTGACTGGGGAGGAAGGCGAGGAGGGGGAGGAAGGCGAGGAGGGGGAGGAAGGCGAGGAGGAGGAGGAGTTGGCGAGGGCTTGGAGGAGGAATTGGCCGGAGGAGTTGGAGAGCATGATGACTGGAATGGTCACGTCGCCTGCTGCCAGGTCTGTCGCGTTGCACCCCATGCCGAGAATGCCTGCCACGAAACAGCAGTGGACAATGAAGAGAGGCGGATGTAATAGTTGGAAAATACAAAGATCAAGCATGCATAGTAGCATATGCTAATGCCTAGCTTTAGCAAGATCAAATCAATCAGCGCATCCAGCCTATTTAGGCCTACACCACCCACAGTACCGTCAACACTGTTGACCACGACAGCCGGCTTGTGACTCGACTCAAACGCACCCAATCCATAGAAACCTACCCCGCCCACAGTACCACGGCAGCAGCGGCTCCTAGCCACGGCAGCAGCGGCTTCTAGCTGCTGAACGTGATAGAAGATTCGTTTTGAGACGTCTCAAAACCTACGGTCCTACCCCACCCACAGTACCTTCTTCGTTGTTGATGACGATGGCAGCAGCTGCTCCCAGCTGCTGAACGCGGAGGGCTTTGGAGGCGAAGCTGCACTCCCCTCTCTGCACCAGCACGGCCTGGCCGTGAAACTGGCAGGCGGGGGATGGGCGGCAGGACACGGAAGATTGGAGGCGAAGTGAGGAAGCACGCTGCGGAATAGGGTGTGCAACACTGCCTAGATAAACACAGCCCTAGGAGATGCAACAGCTTCGGGGATAGCAAAACGGCGAGGAAGCGGCGAGCGCGGAAAGGAGGCACATACTGAGGGTAGAGGAGGCGTGGGGTCGGAGCAGGCGAGCAGGGATTGCAGTTTTGAGTCGACTCAAAAGTCACCTCGGAAGGGTGGACGTACTGAGGGTAGCGGAGGCGAGGGGTCGGAGCAGGCTAGCAGGGGTTGCATTTGGGCGAGGGAGAAGGAGAGCGCCTCAGGCTTGGTCTTAGGGAGCCCTGCGCCGAAGCTGGCCGTGAGGGCCAGGATCTGCGCGTCATCGTCGCCAGTCGTGGCGTTGCCTCCCACGTGGACGATCAGCTTGACCTGGGCAGGGGGACGGCGAAAGGATTGCTTTGAGTCAAGGCAGAAGCAGAATAATCGCCGCTCGTGGCGTTGCCTCCCACGTGGACGATCAGCTTGACCTGAGGTAGGGGGATGGTGCGAGAGGAATGTGAGAGGGGACGGTGAGGAGACGAGGAGTATGAGAGAGGATTGTGAGGAGAGGATGGATGGATAAGTGGTATCCTGAGCAGTAAGAGTGATAAAACCAGAGTATCCTGAGCAGTGGTATCTGACGCTATAAAACGATTGGAAAGGGGGGATTCCTGGTTCCTCAACCAGATTATGGAAGTTGCGTGAGCCAAAGCGTCGACCGCCGTACCATTTCCACGCTGTTATCGCAGCCTTGCCGCGGCGACTGAGCGTTTACGGATGCCGGGCACGCGACCAGGATCAGCAAGAATAGCGATAGTAACGAAAGTCGTTGCGACGCTAGCGAAGCATGCCGTACGAGCGACCATGACTGGCGAGCACCTGGTGCTCTGGCCAACGAGCGACGGTCCATCTCGCGACTACGACAACTAACGGTTCGTGAAGGCTAACGATAACGTCGCGAGTTAACGGCTTCTGGTAGCTTCGGATTCGTGAAGCTTCAGGTGAAACGAACTGGCGTAGGAATCTGTTAACCACTTCGATGCGATGATGGAGTCGACCGGCAGAGAGAGAGCAACGGTGTAAGTGCATCCAAGTACGAGTGGATTGGCCTAACGTGGGATCGAGACCGAGTAAGGAATATTTACTCCGCGACCTTCGTCGCTGACCCTGAAAATACCGAAGATTCAGCATCCGAATTTTAACGAGGAAAAATATCAAAACGGTAGATGCCGGTCTGGAGACCAATCAAGGCCTGTCATTGACGGCACAGAGCGGACGCTACTGAACGTCAGCCGCGCGGGGGAGAAACATGGCGAAGATAAGGGCGTGTAGCGTACGGTTTCGTGGGCCCAATTCTGGAACTGGGTTCCATCACTGTAATTCGCCAGTTCCGTTTGCGCATGGAACCCCGAGTTTCAAAACTTGCATTCGCTATCTGTCTGTGGACGGAACTTCGAGTTCCGAAACTCGAAGTTCCAACGTTCAAACGTTTGAACGAAGGGCGAACCACCCCCCCCCCGAATTGAGGAAAAAGAAGGACTTCGCATCCAATGACAAACAAGAATAATTTGGCCAGTGCCAATTTCTTGCCTCGCGGATGGTCAAATTGGCGTGTGGAGTAACGGAATCGTCGTGATTTTTCGTAGTTTTCGCGAGAGTAGCGTGGGCTTTTCGCTCAAAACTGCAGGAGAGTTTCGAACAGACCTCCGGACGACCGTTCGAAACCACCGTCCAGACAGGTGTGGAACTCGTGATTCCTTCGCGAGGTCATTAGCGAAAAAGTAAGCGAGCAGTGTCGAAAAATGTTTTCCTTTTCGCCTATGGACGGAACTCAGTTCCGAAACCGTAGGATACACGCCCTAAAAGAGGGTAGCCTCGGGTGGGGAAACTTGATAACACAGGAAGTGAGAAAGCAATGCTGTGCTCTTGGTGGGATTGCTCTGCAGCAGGTCCGTTGAGAGGACCTGCGGTTGGAAGGCTGGCAGGTCTGTGTGGTGTGGAATTCCCAAGGCTCCTCTGACACAAGCCCATCGTCAGTTTCAGACTTTCCCGCGCATTTGCCATTAGCGAACAGGCTACGGTCTGGTTACACTAACTTAATTTTGCTGGAAAATGCAGTATCTGATGTGAACAATCACAAAATCTCACTTTTACGTTCATAGCACATGTTCTTTGGTATTTCTATCTTGCTAATAACCAGCCCCGCTACTACTATCATCTCCGCGCCTATGGAAACTTGCTCCCTCGTGCTCGTACTCATCGTCTTCACCACCACCATCCATCTCCTCCATCTCATTTTCCTCTGCTTGCTCCACATTCTCGCACAGCCTGGCATACTCCCGGTAAATCCTTCGACTCTTGAGCCAAGTTGTCACCGTCATAGCCGCAAGGCCCACAATGGCCAACCCTCCGAGCACGAAGATGACAATGTACTTGGGGCTCAAAGTGCTTGGCGCAATGTATTTCACCTCCATGTCACAAGGCCCCGCCACTATCCCTTCCGGCAGCTTCTGCGCTCCCGGAAGGTTCTCGTTACAAATCTTCGGGGCCTTCCATATGTATGTTACGTTGTGCACACCTTTGGAGTCCGCACAGGAATCCTCGAACCTCTGGTAGTCGTCGGCCATGCACGGTTGGCATAACTCATCAGGAGGTAAGGGCACCTGCGGATTCGGCTGGCACAGCTGCCAGGGTTGCGGGAAAAAGGGAGGTCAGGAGAGAAATAAAAAGGAGAGTCTGGATCGGCCTCTAGCCTGATCGCCAAGCCTGCTTCCCAGATCAAACAGAAACACCAGAACAAAGCCCTGTCCACCCTCCTCTCCTTCCCACCCTCTATCCCCAACTCCAACCAATCGCCTTCCACCTTCCACCTCGCCACCTCCTTCCCACCTCACTTGCCCCTACCCGAAAACGCAGAGAGAAGCCTACCCGGGCGTCCCTCTCCCCACACCACGGGCCCCGTCTCTCCCCACACTTACAACCACGACACGGGGGCCCCTCTCCCCACACTCACAACCACGTACCCGAGGGCTCTTGTATTTGTAGGTGAAGCGCTTGTTATCAATGCAGTCCGCCACGGCCACAGGCTCCACGTCCAGCACGGTGCAGAGCGGGCACGCATGCGCCGTGTACCACACCATCTGGAAGAGGCACGACACCGGCGCCTCCCGGCCCACCGGGATCACCTCGCCGGACCGCTTGACCCATGTGGGGTACGAGAGGGTCGGGTCCAGGGCTGCCTTCTTGCCCCCTTCTGTCCACGGCTCGGGGTGGCCATAACCTGGGGAGAAGGGAGGAGGGAAGGAGACGAGGAAAGGGTGATGGTTGGTGATGGGTGAGGATGTTAGAGACGTGGTGATGGGTGGGGATGTTAGAGACGTGGTGATGGGTGGGGATGTTAGAGACGTGGTGATGGGTGACTCCCCATCTGAAAATGGGGCACTGACGTACTCTCCCAGCCACGTGAATCGAATGCCACAACGCACTGACGTACGCTCCCAGCCATCTGAATCGAATGCCACAACGCACTGAAGTACGCTCCCAGCCACCTGAATCGAATGCCACAACGCACTGAAGTACGCTCCCAGCCACCTGAATCGAATGCCACAACGGGGACCTCACCAGCCTCAGAGTCACAGATAAATGCGAATCTGAATGTGCTGGGAGCATTCCCTTTGGGGCTATGTTTGTTTGAGGCTTTGCTAGAATGACCTGGAAGCAATCTCTCACCAGCCTCAGGGTCGTAGATGTAGGTAAGGTTGGAGGTGCTGGGCGCGTCGGACATGGGGCAGCTCTCCCTAAACAAAAGTCGTAAGATACTATGATCTCATGCACGCCCAAGAGGCACCCGGATGCTCTCACCAGCCTCAGGGTCGCAGATGAAGGTGAGGTTGAAGGTGCTGGGCGCGTCGGACATGGGGCAGCTCTCCCCCTGGAAGGACATCACCAGCCCCCGCCGCTGCAGCTGCGGCTGCGAGAAGCTCCCCAGGGGGGCCAGCGAGACGGTGTCGCCCAAGCTGTGCGCCGATGTGGCGGTGCTGTGCGCGCTCAGACTGGGGTTGATCTGTCAGAGGAGGGGGTGGGGTGGAGGGGGGTGGAGGGGGGTGGGGGGTTGATCTGGGGTTGATCTGTCAGCTGAAGCAGGATCAAGGGAGACGGTGTCGCCCAGGCTATGCGCCGACGTGGCGGTGCTGCGCGCACTCAGACTGGGGCTGAGCTGGAGGAGGGGAGAGGAGGGGAGGGGGAATAGATTGAATGGATATTCAAGGTTAGTTGATGGGATCAAGGGAGAGGGCATCACCCAAGCTGTGGGCGGATGGGGTGGTGCTGCGCGCACTCAGACTGGAGTTGATCCAGAGGAAGGGGAGAGTTGAGAGAATGTGTTGGAAAATCGAGGTTAGTTAAAAAAGGGATCAAGGGAGACAACATCAACCTGGAGGTGAGAGGATGGGGCGGTGCTTCGTGTGCTAAGACTGGTGTTGGTCTGATGGAGGGGTGAGAGGGGAGATGCGGGGAATGGTGCCTATCATTGACTCTAGTTTTGAGACGCCTCAAAACTATCATGGACGAGAATGCCGCGCGAGTGCAGTAGGAAGAAATGGTAGATGCAAGGGGGCGTTCAACTCACCCGGCACACATAGGTGTTGTTGAGAGGCTTGCCCGTGTACATAATGCACGGGTACGTCGTGTTTGCACTCTTCCCCTTGCCCCCACCGCCATCCCGCCCACCAGCATCACCACCACCACCCGAGCCCAGCCGATACACCGCGCTGTCACTGTTGCTGCGGGCGCACACTGACACATAGTACTTGGGGCCCTTCTGCAGGTCGACGAAGGACGGCCCCTCGTAGATGGGCCCCACCAGGCGCCCCAGGCTCTGGTGCGCGAGGGGGGAGAGGTCGTAGAGCAGCGTGTCTGTGCTGTTGAACGAACGCACGAGGAAGGTGCAGAAGGAGGAGGGCGAGCTGACGTCACCGATGGCACACTGCGCACTGCCTTCTAAGGAGGATGTGCCCAGGCCACAGGGCTGGCAGGCTGTGCGGTTGCCCTGAAAGGTTGCCAGGGAGGCGGGGGGACGGGGTTGGAGAGGAGACGGAGTGAGATGTTGGAGCCATGGAGCACAATGCAATGCGCCTCCAGAGAGGCAGCGCACTAGGCGCTGATGGAGGGCGAAAGGTGCGAAAGGAGGAGGGGGAGATGACATCCCCAGCGGCGCACTCTGCACTGCCTTGTAACGTGAAGGGAATTGATGAAGTGTGGGGCGGCACGTGAAGGGAATCGAGGAGGGCGGGGAGGCTTTGCAGGTGATGGCTGGGGAGGGGGTTGCAGTTGGAGAAGAGATGGGTAGATGGAAGGAGAGCAGGACACCCTGCATGCCGATGGCAGTAACGATGGAGAATATGCTGCAAGTCAAATCTCCAGTATGCATCTGTCCCGAGTATTTGACAAGTCACTGGGAACGGATGCTACTGAGGTTTCAGGAAACGCAAAGCTACTGAGTCCTCTCAGAAGAAGCCATGTCATGTGTCAACATTCCCCCTGAGGGATGCACTCACAGCCGGTTTAGGGTTGAAGGTGTTGGTGGGGCACTTCTCACACACCCCCTCCCCCCCCTCACTGTAGTACCCCGCAGGGCACTCCTCCCACGCGTCTGCACTCTGCCCCTTCTGCGCGCCTGCAGGGATGCGCACGCACCCCGGCGCGCCCCCCTGCGCGGCGCCCCACACGCGCACGCTGTGCACGATGGCGGACTGGCGGTCCACGGAGGTGCGGTCGGCGTTGAGTGTGACCCACACCCACATGATGCGGTGCGCGCCCGCGGTCAGCGGCCACTGCCTGCTGCTGCTGCGACCCACCGGCACGCTCAAGCCCATGTTGCCCCCATCCTAAGGGAAAGAGGGGGGCGGGGGGGGGTGTGTGGGTGGAAGGGATGGGGATATTGGAAAAGAAAGGACATTCGTGGGAGGGAGGAGAGGAGACTGGGGGAGTGCTCCTCCCGATATCACGAAGGAAAATGTCGAGAAGCACTTCGTTGCTGTTGACGTCTTTTAGAATTCTCAAGTACCAACTTCTCCCAATATCACACAGAATAGCATCGAGAAGCACCTCGGTGCGGTTGGCCAGGTTGTCGCCCACGTAGAAAAAAAAAAAACGCCCCCAGTGCAGGTGAGTTTATCAGTGACCCCTCACCCACCTGAGAACTTCCATCACCACACCTCGATGTTCTCCAATAGGTGATCATCCAATCCACTTAGAAGAAGAGCCCCCGCTGCAGGTCAAATCAGTGGTGACCTGACCTCTCACCCACCCTAAACTCTTACCCTAACCCCTGACGTCGCACCTCAATGTTCTCCACCAGGCGATAATCCACATAGAAGAACAGCCCCCCCTGCACCTCGCACCCACCTATTCCTCCACACTTCTGCCCTAAACCGTCGCCCCCTAACGCCCAGTTGTATTTTGAGTCGACTCAAAATTAAACCGTCGCCCCCTAACGTCGCACCTCAATGTTCTCCACCAGGTTGTCGTCCACGTAGAAGAAGAGCCCCCGCTGCAGGTCGCCGGGAGGAATGTCGACGTCAAAGTCGTACGTGATGGAGCCGGGGATGGAGAGATTCACGTTCAGTGCCAGCCATACCTGCAGGTTAGGTAGAAAACAAGATGGGGAGGGACCAGAGAAAAGGAGCATGAAATGAGGTTTGTCTCGTGCACCGTCCAAGTCGAATGTGATAGAGCCAGGGAGGGAGAGATTGACCTTCGGTGCCAGCCACACCTGCAGGGAGGAGTGGAGAGAGGGAGGGGCAGGGGAGCGATGCTGAGACGAATGGACGTGGGTATGGCAGCTGAGGCCGGGTATGGCACAATTCACTTCACATTCAGTGCCAGCTACGCCTATAGTGAGGCAGGAACGATTAACCAACAAACACACTTACAGAAGCAGTTTTGCCGTTGTTCGCCCCAGAGTCGAGGTAATCCCAACCACCCGCCAACCCACCAAACAAAATGCTGTACAAACAAAACGGTCCAAATACCGAAGCGGTCTTGCCGTTATTACCTCCTGCGTCCAGATTATCCCCGACCACCCACCACGTGAAATGCACGTACTAACAAACACACTTACAGAAGCAGTTTTGCCGTTATTCACCCCAGAATCCAGGTAATCCCCGACCACCCGCCACCCGCCCGACCCACACTCCCCACTGCAGCCAGTCTGGAAGCCGCTGGGAAGCTTCCCGTCCTCCCCTGTGTGGAAATGCTCTAGCAGCAGCATCCTCACTGCCGCCTCGCCAGGCTGGCATGGGTGGCATGCTTCGTCCGATGTGGGGGAGGGCGAGGAGGGAGGAGCGGCAGCGCCTGGAGGGGGGAGTGTTGGTGGTGGTGCTGAGGCGTTCCTTGCTGTGCCCTGGACGGGGGAAGTGCGGGGGAGAGGCGGGGAGAGGTGGGGGGGAGAGGAAAAGGGGGGTTAGAGGAAAAGGGGGGGCAGAGGAAAAGGGGGGGCAGAGGAAAAGGGGGGGCAGAGGAAAAGGGGGGGCAGAGGAAAAGGGGGGGCAGAGGAAAAGGGGGGCGGGGGGAGAGCATGACAGGAGAGAGGAGAAATCAGTGAGCAGAGGAGTGAGGGGGGGTATTTCGGATTATGGAACACCATGGGAGACAGAAGCAGATGTCAGGGCGTTTGGAAGCTGAACCGCAGAGAGAAATCGAATGGACGTGCCACATATGCCCATATTGGGTGAGAGGCATACAGTGGGGCAGAAGGTGCAGGTGCGAGTGTCAGATGCTGAATCCACGACAGCATACAGGCCCGAGGGACAGGGCTCTGAAGATGGGGGGCAGCGGGAGAGAGAAGAGATTGCTCCGGGTTATGAAAGGGAGGAGGGAGGAGAGGATGGGGAAGGGTGTGAACTGAGATGCAGCTGAGTCCAGATCCGGCATACTGGCCCAAGGGACAGGGCTGTGAAGGCAGGCGGCAGCGGAAGGCAAAGGGGGGGTAGAGGTTTGCCGAGGGATGCGGAAGGGAGGCGATTCACAGATGGTGCAGCGACAGCGACAGCGACAGCGACATAGACATAGACATAGACATAGACATAGAGCATGTCGTACAGGCACGCAAAGAGAGGCCGTCACCATGCATAGGTGGGAGGCAGTACGAGAGAGGTGGGTCACCATATGGCAGTGATGCAGCAAGAGAGGCGGTTACCGCAAGGCAAGGTGGTGTTGGGAGGCAGTCCGCGAGAGGGGTCCGGCTGGCACACGCGGGGGGAGAGCCACGACCACACTTGTGTGCGCGTGCCAGTGGAGGCAGTGCAGGCAGTGAAGGTGGGGGTGGCGTCAACCGTCACATTGCACACTGGGGACGAGAAGGGGGAGAGGAATGGGGGAGAAATTGGGGGAGGGGACAGGGGGGTTGCATGACGCGTTCATAAACACTTGGGTGCGCGTGCCAATAGAGGCCGTGAAGGTGGGCGTGGCGTCAACCGTCACGTTGCACACTGAGGAAGGGCGGACGGAGAGGGATAGGGGGGAGGGGCGATAAAAAGCCTCAAGCACGCTCAGGTGCAAGTGCAAATGGAGGCAGTGCAAGTGGTGAAGGTGGGGTTGGAGTGGAGTAACTGACGCATTGCACACTGGGGTGGGGTTGAGGTGGAGGTGGAGTGGCTACCGGAATGCAGCCAGATGGGGGGATGGGCGAGCGGAAGGAAGCTGGGGAAGGATGGAATGAGATTTATAAAGAGAACTGGAGCTTCACAAGTCAGTGCGTGTTCCCGTACTCACATGGGCGCGGGATGCAGTGGGTGCGGGGCATGGTGAGGGCGTATGTGGCGTTGTCACACGGCTGGCACTGCCCTGACCCCTCGCTGGGAGCAGGCGAATCAGGGAACGTGCAGGGAGAAGGTAAAGTGTGTGGGGGGCTGGGAACGTGCAGGGTGAAGGGCATGTGCCGGGGGCATATGCAGGCATGTGCTGGGGGCATATGTGAGAACTGGGAACAGAATTGTGCAGAGGAGCAAACACAAAGGACCATTCAATGCCCATTTAATGAGCATTCGAGGGCCATTCAAGGAGCATTCGAGGGCCATTCAAGGAGCATTCGAGGGCCATTCAAGGAGCATTCGAGGGCCATTCAAGGAGCATTCGAGGACCATTCAAGGAGCATTCGAGGGCCATTCAAGGAGCATTCGAGGGCCATTCAAGGAGCATTCGAGGGCCATTCAAGGAGCATTCGAGGGCCATTCAAGGAGCATTCGAGGGCCATTCAAGGAGCATTCGAGGGCCATTCAAGGAGCATTCGAGGGCCATTCAAGGAGCATTCGAGGGCCATTCAAGGAGCATACACAAAGGGCCATTCAAGGAGCATACACAAAGGGCCATTCAAGGAGCATACACAAAGGGCCATTCAAGGAGCATACACAAAGGGCCATTCAAGGAGCATACACAAAGGGCCATTCAAGGAGCATACACAAAGGGCCATTCAAGGAGCATACACAAAGGGCCATTCAAGGAGCATACACAAAGGGCCATTCAAGGAGCATACACAAAGGACCATTCAAGGAGCATACACAAAGGGCCATTCAAGGAGCATACACAAAGGGCCATTCAAGGAGCATACACAAAGGGCCATTCAAGGAGCATACACAAAGGGCCATTCAAGGAGCATACACAAAGGGCCATTCAAGGAGCATACACAAAGGACCATTCAAGGAGCATACACAAAGGGCCATTCAAGGAGCATACACAAAGGGCCATTCAAGGAGCATACACAAAGGGCCATTCAAGGAGCATACACAAAGGGCCATTCAAGGAGCATACACAAAGGGCCATTCAAGGAGCATACACAAAGGGCCATTCAAGGAGCATACACAAAGGGCCATTCAAGGAGCATACACAAAGGGCCATTCAAGGAGCATACACAAAGGGCCATTCAAGGAGCATACACAAAGGGCCATTCAAGGAGCATACACAAAGGACCATTCAAGGAGCATACACAAAGGGCCATTCAAGGAGCATACACAAAGGGCCATTCAAGGAGCATACACAAAGGGCCATTCAAGGAGCATACACAAAGGGCCATTCAAGGAGCATACACAAAGGGCCATTCAAGGAGCATACACAAAGGCCATTCAAGGAGCATACACAAAGGGCCATTCAAGGAGCATACACAAAGGGCCATTCAAGGAGCATACACAAAGGGCCATTCAAGGAGCATACACAAAGGGCCATTCAAGGAGCATACACAAAGGGCCATTCAAGGAGCATACACAAAGGGCCATTCAAGGAGCATACACAAAGGGCCATTCAAGGAGCATACACAAAGGGCCATTCAAGGAGCATACACAAAGGGCCATTCAAGGAGCATACACAAAGGGCCATTCAAGGAGCATACACAAAGGGCCATTCAAGGAGCATACACAAAGGGCCATTCAAGGAGCATACACAAAGGGCCATTCAAGGAGCATACACAAAGGGCCATTCAAGGAGCATACACAAAGGGCCATTCAAGGAGCATACACAAAGGGCCATTCAAGGAGCATACACAAAGGGCCATTCAAGGAGCATACACAAAGGCCATTCAAGGAGCATACACAAAGGCCATTCAAGGAGCATACACAAAGGGCCATTCAAGGAGCATACACAAAGGGCCATTCAAGGAGCATACACAAAGGGCCATTCAAGGAGCATACACAAAGGGCCATTCAAGGAGCATACACAAAGGGCCATTCAAGGAGCATACACAAAGGGCCATTCAAGGAGCATACACAAAGGGCCATTCAAGGAGCATACACAAAGGGCCATTCAAGGAGCATACACAAAGGGCCATTCAAGGAGCATACACAAAGGGCCATTCAAGGAGCATACAAAAAAGAGCATACACAAAGGGCCATTCAAGGAGCATACACAAAGGGCCATTCAAGGAGCATACACAAAGGGCCATTCAAGGAGCATACACAAAGGGCCATTCAAGGAGCATACACAAAGGGCCATTCAAGGAGCATACACAAAGGGCCATTCAAGGAGCATACACAAAGGGCCATTCAAGGAGCATACACAAAGGGCCATTCAAGGAGCATACACAAAGGCCATTCAAGAGCATACACAAAGGGCCATTCAAGGAGCATACACAAAGGGCCATTCAAGGAGCATACACAAAGGGCCATTCAAGGAGCATACACAAAGGGCCATTCAAGGAGCATACACAAAGGGCCATTCAAGGAGCATACACAAAGGGCCATTCAAGGAGCATACACAAAGGGCCATTCAAGGAGCATACACAAAGGGCCATTCAAGGAGCATACACAAAGGGCCATTCAAGGAGCATACACAAAGGGCCATTCAAGGAGCATACACAAAGGCCATTCAAGGAGCATACACAAAGGGCCATTCAAGGAGCATACACAAAGGGCCATTCAAGGAGCATACACAAAGGGCCATTCAAGGAGCATACACAAAGGGCCATTCAAGGAGCATACACAAAGGGCCATTCAAGGAGCATACACAAAGGGCCATTCAAGGAGCATACACAAAGGGCCATTCAAGGAGCATACACAAAGGGCCATTCAAGGAGCATACACAAAGGGCCATTCAAGGAGCATACACAAAGGGCCATTCAAGGAGCATACACAAAGGGCCATTCAAGGAGCATACACAAAGGGCCATTCAAGGAGCATACACAAAGGGCCATTCAAGGAGCATACACAAAGGGCCATTCAAGGAGCATACACAAAGGGCCATTCAAGGAGCATACACAAAGGGCCATTCAAGGAGCATACACAAAGGGCCATTCAAGGAGCATACACAAAGGGCCATTCAAGGAGCATACACAAAGGGCCATTCAAGGAGCATACACAAAGGGCCATTCAAGGAGCATACACAAAGGGCCATTCAAGGAGCATACACATAGGGCCATTCAAGGAGCATACACAAAGGGCCATTCAAGGAGCATACACAAAGGACCATTCAAGGAGCATACACAAAGGGCCATTCAAGGAGCATACACAAAGGGCCATTCAAGGAGCATACACAAAGGGCCATTCAAGGAGCATACACAAAGGGCCATTCAAGGAGCATACACAAAGGGCCATTCAAGGAGCATACACAAAGGGCCATTCAAGGAGCATACACAAAGGACCATTCAAGGAGCATACACAAAGGGCCATTCAAGGAGCATACACAAAGGGCCATTCAAGGAGCATACACAAAGGGCCATTCAAGGAGCATACACAAAGGGCCATTCAAGGAGCATACACAAAGGACCATTCAAGGAGCATACACAAAGGGCCATTCAAGGAGCATACACAAAGGGCCATTCAAGGAGCATACACAAAGGGCCATTCAAGGAGCATACACAAAGGGCCATTCAAGGAGCATACACAAAGGGCCATTCAAGGAGCATACACAAAGGGCCATTCAAGGAGCATACACAAAGGACCATTCAAGGAGCATACACAAAGGGCCATTCAAGGAGCATACACAAAGGGCCATTCAAGGAGCATACACAAAGGGCCATTCAAGGAGCATACACAAAGGGCCATTCAAGGAGCATACACAAAGGGCCATTCAAGGAGCATACACAAAGGGCCATTCAAGGAGCATACACAAAGGGCCATTCAAGGAGCATACACAAAGGGCCATTCAAGGAGCATACACAAAGGACCATTCAAGGAGCATACACAAAGGGCCATTCAAGGAGCATACACAAAGGGCCATTCAAGGAGCATACACAAAGGGCCATTCAAGGAGCATACACAAAGGGCCATTCAAGGAGCATACACAAAGGGCCATTCAAGGAGCATACACAAAGGGCCATTCAAGGAGCATACACAAAGGGCCATTCAAGGAGCATACACAAAGGGCCATTCGAGGAGCATACACAAAGGGCCATTCGAGGAGCATACACTGAGATTTGGTCAGGAGGGCATGCTGTGCAGTTGGTGGCTTGCTCCGCGCTGTGGAGATACGATACGATTGTTGCGGGCATCAGAGGCACGTGTGGTGCAGAGCCGTGTCACACACACATGTGGGCGTGTACATGCACACACCGAGAGTACAAAGCATGCAACATGCGCGCACACGCATGCACACTCACACACAGATACATGCACACCCCCATGAACGCACGTGCGCACCCGCGCCCCCCCCCCCCCCACACACACACACGCACACATGAGAATGGAGAAGAGGTTCGTTCAGGATGCAAGCCAAGCCAGGCACAAGAGAAAGAGAAAAGAAACAGATGAGAAACGGCATGCAGGCTGCAGCCACGTTAAGCTTAGTGTGAGGCACAGCCTCTCAGGCTGTGTCAGCAGCCTCTTCAGCTCGGTGTGAGGCACTGCCACAGCCTGAGAGGCTGCTGATAGAGCCGAAGCAAGCTATAGCAGGGAGGCAGAGACAGAAGAAGGGTGTGCGGGGGAGGATTGGGCGGAGGTGTATGCCTGTCTCCAGCAAAACGGCAACACACCTAACGAGGCTGCTGCTGGCAAACAGCGCGCATTAGAGGCAGCATACCTGGCGACGAGGGCAGCATACCTGACGACGAGGGCAGCAGGGGCGCAGTGTTGCTACCTGAAGAAGCCAGCAGGGCATTTGAGGCAGGATGAGTCGGTGAACGCAATGCCGTCCACCTCCAGGAACTGCGCGGTGGATGGATGGAAGACGGCAACCGTAAGAGAGGCGGAGAGAACGAGGTGAACAAAGGCTAGAAAAGACGGAGTGCAATGCCGCCCACCTCCAGGAACTGCGGGGTTGAGTACAGGATGGACAGGCGCGGTTGCAACGAGAGGAGGGAGAGAAGGGAGACATAAGGAGAAGAGGTATCCTTACGGGACAGGTGAATCGGATGTGTGTTAGTGTTCACCTGGACCAGGTGAATCGGATGTGTGTTAGTGTTCACCTGGAGCAGGTGAACGTTCACGCTTACAGAGGTGTAGGCAAGCGAGGAGGTGGGGAGGGCGACAGACTTGTAGACGTGGAGCGAGTAGAAGTAGAGATACCCAAGAGGGCCAGAACCGGAGAGCCTTACTCACCTGTACGGCAGCGGAGTCTCTGCCTTGTGTGAAGGGCGAGTCCTTGATCTATGTCCACAGCAGCGTGTGATGGTCTGCTGCCAGAGGAAAGACATTTCAGCTGACTAAGAATTCGCCTAGACTGCCTCACCTGTATGGCAGCAGAATCCCTGCCTTGTGTGAAGGACGAGTCCTTGATATACGTCCACCGCAGCATGTGCCGGCCTGCTGCCAGGGGGAATCGAACCTCCTTGGGGTCGAACTGGACAGAGACAGGGAACAGGGGGTGGGGTGGGAACAGCAAACGGGTTGAAACTGAGTCGACGAGTCCTTGGCAACAGTGCAGGCTACACACAGGAGCGTGCATGCCTGCATGCATGCCTGCTGAGAAACGGAAACGGAATGCAGCAGGAAAGCACTGACCTGGCACGGCACAAAGACCTGGCACGGCACAAAGACCTGGTGCAACAAGTACCTGGTTGTATGCGAGCAGCATGGCGGGTGTTTCAAGGTCATCGATGTAGAAGACCAGCCCGTCTCGCTGCCGCTCCGAACTCACTGTGAAGCGAAACGTCACGTAGCTGGTGAGGGACGGGGAGGGTAGGGGAACATGGGTTGGGGAAGCGAGCTTACACCATCCCACAGCACTCACTGTGAAGCGGAAGGTGACCTAGCTGGTGAGGGACGGTGCACGGGGGAGAGGGGGAGATGTGGGGTCAGATGGGGTGAGATGTGGGGTGGGAGGGAGGGTTGGGGGTCAGGGAGTGAACACCCTGGCTCCACGCTCACTGTGAAGCGAAAGGCCATGTACCTGATGAGGAACGGGGGCAGGGATTGGGGGGTTGGGGGGGGGACGAGAGGGGGGACGAGAGGGGGGACGGGACGGAATGAGGGGGGGTAAGGGAGAAGGTATTTTGCCTCAGCACTCACTGTGCAGCGAAACGAGACGTGCCTGGTGGGGGACGGGGAGGGAGCGTTCAGATAGCAAACCTCCGCACTCACTGGCAAGCGAAACGTGGTAGGCAGGCGGGCAGGAAAGTGAGGGGGGGAGGCAGGAGGGCACAACGTGGCAGGGGGGGAGGCAGGAGGGCACAACGTGGCAGGGGGGGAGGCAGGAGGGCACAACGTGGCAGGGGGGGAGGCAGGAGGGCACAACGTGGCAGGGGGGGAGGCAGGAGGGCACAACGTGGCAGGGGGGGAGGCAGGAGGGCACAACGTGGCAGGGGGGGAGGCAGGAGGGCACAACGTGGCAGGGGGGGAGGCAGGAGGGCACAACGTGGCAGGGGGGGAGGCAGGAGGGCACAACGTGGCAGGGGGGGAGGCAGGAGGGCACAACGTGGCAGGGGGGGAGGCAGGAGGGCACAACGTGGCAGAGGCAGGAATAGTTCTGAGAGAGCCTAGGCATGAGCTAAGAGAGCTTCACTCACCCATCCCTGACGAGAGTGAGCGGCAGCTTGAGTGTGGACTGCAGGTTGTTGTGGCATGTCATGTTGCTGTTGTACGCGCACTCCTCCTGCTCACATTGCCAGATGGATAATAGACGCATTGATGTTGGCACGAGCCGATCGACACATCGTAGAAATAGATACATGGAATAAACCCACCCAAGACCACAAACACACACGTATGCATGCATTCACATGCCATACATGAACCACCCTACAACCACCACACCCCTAGCCAGTAGTTAGCAGGCGTAGGACCCCACATTGAGCTTCCCCTCTTCGCATACCACCTGTACCGTACGCATCAAACAGCACACTTACTACATCATACATCATCCGCCATACAACCACACATGTGAGCATGCGTTTACCCACCATACATAATCCACCCACAACCACCGCACCTCCAGCCAGTAGTTCGCAGGGTCATAGGACCCCACTTTCAGCTGCCCCTCCTCCGCGTACCACCCATCACAGGGGAAGGTGCCAGAAGTGTTGGTGAAGGAGCATTCAGTCTGGATGGGAAGCGCGAAGGGGGGGGGGGGTTTGAAGGACGAAGAAGGACAGCTGAGACCCATGCCCTGCCAACCTCGGCATACCACCCATCACAGGGGAAGGTGCCGGAAGTGTTGGTGAAGGAGCACTCAGTCTGGTAGGGAAGGAGAGAGGGGGAAAGGGGGGAATGAGAGATGAGCAGGAAAACTAAGACCCATGCACTGTCCCCCTCGGCATACCACCCATCACAGGGGAAGGTGCCATAAGTGCTGGAAGGGGACGGGAGGGAGGAGTGGGGGAGTTGTGGACGTAATGTGCGGGGAGAAGGAGGGGGGCAGGGGGGAGATAACAGATAGAGAATGAGGGCATATCACCCATCACAGGAGAAGGTGCCGGAAGTGTTGGTGAAGGAGCACTTAGTCTAAATGGGAACGGGAGGGAGGAGTGAGGGAGAATGGGGATGGGGGGAGCGGGGGGAAGGTAAGGGCCCCTTTCAGAGGGGGGGCGGGTGAGATGAGATCCAAGCACACCGTTCCCCCCGCATACCACCCGCCACAGGGATAGCTGCCCGAGGTGCTGGTGAAGGAGCCTTCAGTCTGAATGAAGGCGGGTGCGTTTTGTGTGGTGCTTTGCTCTCAAGTAGCAATAGAGCACTGTACCTGGAAGACTTTAGGGTCGAGGTCACTGAAGGCATCATAGCGGAAGCCACCGCCCATGCTGTAGTAGCCTGGAGGGGGGGGAGTGATGGTGAGGAGAGATGGGCGTGACGAGGGGGAGAGAGGTGGCCGGAGGTCAAATGGGGATAGAGTACGAAGGGATGGATGGGGAGGAAGCACGGGGAGGCGGGGGAAAAGGACTGGGAGGAAGGATGAGGAGGAAGGATGAGGAGGAGGGATGAGGAGGCAGGGATGGCAAAGGGTTGCCACACAAACACACACATGCAAACACACGTGCACGCACACACACACAGACACACCTGCGGGGCACTTGTGGCAGTTGTTGCCTTTGAGAAACATCCCTGGGCCACACCGCGTGTCTGCAGACAGGCATGCACGGGCGTACACACAGCAAGACACACACATGCATGGGCATACGTATAGTGACGAGTGCATAGATTGTTGGGAGGTGCGTAAATCCACAAAGGGTGCACAGTCCAACTGTTCCCAGAGTCAACATGCATGAGCCGAATAAGTGCATGCGAATGTATGTGCCATGCATGCAGTTGTGCATGCGCATGTGCATGTGCGGTCAACAATGGCTCACCACATGGGATGTAATCGCTGGGAGGGAGGGCAAGCGAGCCACGTGCGGCAGGGTTGCACTGGTTGTCGAAGTAATACACCACCTGGCGACGCAGCACACGGGAGTGTGGGCAAGAGCAACGGAGGTAGAGTGAGTAGAAGGATACTGTATTGTGAGACCCTTAATCGTCCCTATTGCCACGTGTGGCAGGGTTGCACTGGTTGCCAAAGTAGCAGACCACCCACCTGGAGACAAGGCACAAGGGAGTGTGGGCAAGAGCAAGTGAGGTAGAGTGAAAAGATGCCGTGAAACCCTTATTACGTCCCGACACTCACGTGCGGCAGCATTGCACTGGTTGTCAAAGTGCTACACCTAAGAGGGAAGGGAGGATGGGGCGGGTGGGAGGGGGGCGGGAGGGCGACCACAGAGAGGAAACAGGGAGAAGAAGTGGTCAATGTGGACCTGAAGTCGCACACCCTGAATGGGAAGGGCGGAAAGAATGGAGGGCCACAGGAAGGGACGATGCATCGGTGGGCATGGGAGATGTGGGCATGGGAGATGTGGGCATGGGAGATGTGGGCATGGGAGATGTGGGCATGGGAGATGTGGGCATGGGAGATGTGGGCATGGGAGATGTGGGCATGGGAGATGTGGGCATGGGAGATGTGGGCATGGGAGATGTGGGCTGGGCATGGGAGATGTGGGCATGGGAGATGTGGGAGATGTGGGCATGGGAGATGTGGGCATGGGAGATGTGGGCATGGGAGATGTGGGCATGGGAGATGTGGGCATGAGAGGTGTGGGCATGGGAGATGTGGGCATGAGAGGTGTGGGCATGGGAGGTGTGGGCATGGGAGGTGTGGGCATGGGATATGTGGGCATGGGATATGTGGGCAAGGGAGGTGTGGGCATGGGAGATGTGGGCATGGGAGGTGTGGGCATGGGAGATGTGGGCGTGGGAGATGTGGGCATGGGGGATGTGGGCATGGGAGGTGTGGGCATGGGAGATGTGGGCATGGGAGGTGTGGGCATGGGAGATGTGGGCGTGGGAGATGTGGGCATGGGGGATGTGGGCATGAGAGATGTGGCGACGGGAGGTATCAAAGGCCGTCAAAGCAATGTGCTACCCGCAGCCATTTCAACCCGAGTCCACCCTGCACGCAAAAGTAGGTACGCTGCATGTGCTACCTGGATCATGCGCGTCTTGGAGAGGGGCTGCTCGGTGGCGGGGTCCCGGATGTAGTCACATGTGAGGTACATGCTCTTCATGTTCGCCTCCGTGCACGGAACAGGCTTCAGCTCTGGTCATGTGCGAGGGCAAGGGAAGGGAAGGTGTATGGGCAGGGGCAGGGGAACGGGAAAGGTGGAGACTGTTTTTAGGATGTCTCAAGGATGTGATCACATGTGAGGTACATGCTCTTCATGTTCGCCTCAGGGCAGGGGAAGGTGTGAGGGCAGGGGAAGGCGCAAGAGCAGGGGAAGGCGCAAGGGCAGGGGAAGGTGCAAGGGCAGGGGAAGGCGCAAGGGCAGGGGAAGGCGCAAGGGCAGGGGAAGGGGCAAGGGCAGGGGAAGGGGCAAGGGCAGGGGCAGGCGCAAGGGCAGGGGCAGGTGCAAGGGCAGGGGAAGGAGACGGATGGAGACTGCGTGTGAGAGGCCCAAAGGATGTAGTCACAGGTGAGGCCCATGCTCTTCACAGTGGCCTCCGTGCAGGGCACAGGCTTCCGCTCTGGTCACGTGCAAGGGCAGGTGCAAGGGCAGGGGACGGAGAAGGATGGAGACTGCATGTGAAAGGGCCAAGGGATGTCGTCACAGGTGAGGCACATGCTCTTCGCAGTGGCCTCCGTGCAGGGCACAGGCTTCCGCTCTGGTCACGTGCAAGGGCAGGTGCAAGGGCAGGGGACGGAGAAGGATGGAGACTGCATGTGAGAGGGCCAAGGGATGTCGTCACAGGTGAGGCACATGCTCTTCACAGTGGCCTCCGTGCAGGGCACAGGCTTCCGCTCTGGTCACGTGCAAGGGCAGGTGCAAGGGCAGGGGACGGAGAAGGATGGAGACTGCATGTGAGAGGGCCAAGCCAAGGGATGTAGTCACAGGTGAGGTACATGCTCTTCACAGTGGCCTCCGTGCAGGGCACAGGCTTCCGCTCTGGTCACGTGCAAGGGCAGGTGCAAGGGCAGGGGACGGAGAAGGATGGAGACTGCATGTGAGAGGGCCAAGGGATGTCGTCACAGGTGAGGCAAATGCTCTTCACAGTGGCCTCCGTGCAGGGCACAGGCTTCGGCTCTGGTCACGTGCAAGGGCAGGTGCAAGGGCAGGGGACGGAGAAGGATGGAGACTGCATGTGAGAGGGCCAAGGGATGTAGTCACAGGTGAGGTACATGCTCTTCACAGTGGCCTCCGTGCAGGGCACAGGCTTCGGCTCTGAGGCACAGGCATGGGCAGGGGGAGGGCGGAGAGAGCAATGCATGATTTGGGAAGGAGAGGAAAAGCAAGCGGCTGGTGGAGAACGCAGGCTCTGGAAAAAGAAGGTTCGAATGTACAAGGGCCTGGTGCCTGGTACCTGGTGCTTGGTGCCTGGTGGGTCGTTGCTTACCACAGAAGAGAAGGTCAACCGGAATTCGTTTGGAATCCTGCCCTCCCTGGCAGTCTGCCACACATGGTTGCAGTGTGGGGGGGAATGCCGTGAGGGGAGAATGCAATGAGGCACCAACTGACTGGATGCTACATACTGATTGATAAATAAATCCCAAATGCTACATACAGATGAATAAAACACCCCAAATTCTACATATGGATTCGTTTTTAATCTGAATGCTACATTCTGATGAACAATGAACCCACTGCCTGGGCGATACTGCAGGTAGCATTTGCCATCGGCCCCTTTCGCGTATTCCTTCTCGTAGTCTGAAGGCGTGCACTCTGCAAGCGAGCCAGGGACGACATACGCAAGACACGGTAACTGCGTTAGTATGCTGATTCTACAGATTCGGATTTTCGCAAGCTGAGCCGTTCAAAGAACCCACAGTTGAAAAGAGCATTACTGAACCTGCTGCATTAGCGGCCATCTAGCAGTAATGTAGGGGAGGGCGACGAGGGGGAAGAGGGCGAGGGTTGCAGCACGCTCACCGCAGGGTTCCTTGCGAATGTTCTCGAACTTGAAGGGGTCGGTGCAGTTGCGATTCGCCTTCTCAAAGTTGATCTCCCTCTTCCCATCTGCCACATCCCAGTCAGCACAGCAAAACAATTAGACAGAGAGTTATGTCGCTCTCAGGACGGTTCGATGCAGCATACAGAGCTCCGCCAGCCTCTAATGACACTGAAACTGCTAAAAACCTGAGCTGAGACTTCTAGGCGATGCAACGGTAAAGGTAAACCATTATCAGTCATGTCATGGTGCGGCGTTGTCGTGTGGCGTCCATGATAAGGATGATATGCACATGCGCATGCATGACACGTGGCAGTTTATCAACCAGCCAGCAAGAAAACCCGAACCGAATCACCCTGTCCAGACCAGATCCTCTAGACAGAACCGAATCACCCTGTCAAGATTGAGGCCAGAACACTTTCGGAGTACCTAGGCCGACAGCACCTCGACAGTTCAGTTCAGTTCAGTTCACAGTTTACCTTGACAGGGCCCGGAAGCTCTGACGTAATCCGTCAGTTCGCACGTCTGACTGCCGTTGGATTCCGGCGGCTGAGCCATTGTCCGATCGACGGCAATCAGAACCAGGACAAGCAGGCCGGACAAAAGCACTGGCGCTGACACGAATATTCCAAGATCGCTTAATCTGAGACATGATGTTCGAGAAGCTCGCGATACGCGGGGATTCATCCTAGCGAGCGTTACAAGAGGTCTGCCGCGGGGATTCGGCTAAACTGTTGCTCTCGAGACGGAATTTCGAGCTTTCTCGAAGAAGTAAAAGAAGGCATTAATCGGCAAGGTCAACAAGGGTGCTGATCAATCGGCAGAAGCAAGCCTGCGCTGGTCGGCAGTTGACACAACTCGGACTTATCCTAGCGACAACGGACATGGGAATGTCACCCAATGTCGCCTCATGGACCGCGATCAGGACGAGACGCGAGTTTGTCGCAGGATTGCAACGATGTAGACGACAGGTCAAGGATGGGTCCCACAAATCAATCCCTGAAACTAACTGAAGGAATTACTGCAAGCTGATCTTCGGGAGTTCAGTCCGACGGAAAAATGTGAATCAGCCGTCCGTGGGTTGCGGATCCAGGAGTCCTTCACTAAAATCAATGACCTCGCTTCGCCTCGCCAGCCCCCCGCCTGGGGAGACACGATCAAGTCCGCGATAGAAGCACGTGTTTCGGTGCTCGATCTTCTACAACCAGTGTCCTTTTGTATAACAAGCCTAATTAGTAACTTTACCCAAACGTCTACTAGATTCTTAGATAGATATGCATTCAAGGTCTCACACACTAGCAGCGACCTTCATTAACATTCAAGGTCATTCCAAACATAACACCAGTCTTCCTATCATAAGTCATTTCCATCCTATCGACCACCTAGCTCAGCTGCCTTCCTCCATATCGAGGATAAACTCCACAAGCTCAGCCTTGCGCATCCTCGAGTACCCGCGCACTTTCCTCTCCTTCAGCAGCTGCTTCAAGTCCTGGGCTGTCATCGCCTCCAGCGCATCTCGCCTCCTCACCCCATTCACACTAGGTGCTGCTTCCACTGCCGCCTCAATTTCCCCCGCGTCTTGAGTTACCTTCGACTCTTCCACATCACTAGCTGCTGCGTCTGAGACAGGGGGAGGTCCCGGCTGAGTCTCCTGGGCAGCAGAACCGGACAGGTCCAAAAAAACTTCTGTCAAGCTGGTGCCTGGGCGGACTCTTGACTGGAACCTGGGGTGCTGGCGCTTGAACTTAGACGGACGCCGGGGGGGAAGCGACGAACGCCACCGCGTGGCGGCCTCGACAAGCTCCTGTTGACATGGAGAGACAGGGAGAAGATTGAGTGTAATGCTCAATGATGCGGCATGATTGGGGACAGACAGGGGGGAGGAAGACATCAGGAAATAGGGCTGGGGTTATTGACGAGAAGTGGAAAGGGAGCTGATACTTGAAGCTGACGCAAAATATATGGTCAGTGTATGGATGGAGGGACAGAAAGGGGGGGGAGGAGCAACAAGGGGCAACACTAGCTGAGGACCAGGCTGTTCAAGCCTAACAATCACTTGAAATGAAGAAAATAGGGGTGATTTGGAGGCAGCTGAGGTTTGCTCGTTCAATCTTGCACATGTTTCATCTGGGGTTCGGGGTTTTGGCTTTTGAAGCACCAAGAGCAGCCCACAAACTGGCAAAGCCTTGTGTTCCTTCCTTTCCACTATGAGATGGATATTACGTTCTGTGCATCCAGACACCCGGAGTCCGCTCATCGTTCTTGTTTCCCACTCTCCTACCCGCAACATAATATAAAAACTCACCGATTCGTCGTCGCTGGACTCGCCCTCCGCAGCGTCCGCCTCGATTTTCCTCGCAATCGCATCCTTGAGAGGGCTCCGCTTCACAAATCTGGTAGGAGGCCGCTGGGGGGTTGCAACAGCAGTAGCAGTAGCGGTAGCAGTAGCAGCAGGCGCATGAGTGGTGGCAGCAGCAGCACTGCCAGCTGAGGCCTCACCTGCTACAGTAACCACTGCGGCCCTCTCGTCCTCGACCGCCGCTCCTGCCTCTTCCGCCACCGCTCCCGCCACAGCACTCCGCTTAGAGCCCTGCTTGCGCCGCGCATTGGCCACTGGGGACCGCTTCGCGAACCCCACGGCACGCTGACGCGTGGCTGCACCTCCGACCGCTGCCGCCGGTTCTGCTGCTGCTGCCACTGCCACCGCTGCAAGCACCTTGGGCTCCTCTACAGCCGCCTGCGCTACAGTGACACTCTCGGCAACAGGAGACCGCTTCTTGAAAGCGGACGGAGGCCTGGGAGGGAGGGTGACTGGAGCTGCTGCTGCTGCTGCAACTGCTGGCTCCGCTTCAGTGGCAGGCTCAGCCTCGACTGCGGGCTCCGCCACAGCTGCAGGCTCCGCCTCGGCTGCAGGCTCCGCCACGGCTGCAGGTTCTGCCTCGGCTGCAGGTTCTGCCTCGGCTGCAGGTTCTGCCTCGGCTGCAGGTTCCGCCTCGGCTGCAGGTTCTGCCTCGGCTGCAGGTTCTGTGTCATTGGGAGTATCGGCAAATGCATTGTCTGCTGTGGCAGCGACTTCTACCGTGTCTACCTTGACCTCTTCGTGAACCGGTTCAGAGGCCGTCGCTGCTGCTGCTGCTTCCTGCTCTGGCACTTCTGCAGGCGGGGAAGGAGGGTCCTGCGCAACTTCCGCTGGAACTTCAGGCTCCGCTGGTGCCGCTGGCTCGGCTACTGGCTCTGGCTCAGGCGCCGGCTCGGGTTCAGACTCGGGCTCGGGGACCGGCTCGGGCTCTGGTTGGGGCTCTGGCTCGGGAGTCGGCTCTGGCACGGGTTCAGGAGTGGGCTCACTTTCCTGTGCGGGCTCTGGTTCGGCAGAGACCTCAGGTGTAGGATCGACCTTTGGTGGCGCCGACGGGTCGACATCGCCGAAGGAATAAAGAAAGGTGCCGTCAGGGAGCTCTGTTCCCAATGAAAGGTGAAATGTACGGATGTAATGGGCACGAATACGGTGTTTAATTCTTGTAAAAAGTTAGCGATTTCGTTTTAAGAGGATGAACAGAGGATTGACTGAGACCTCTGTAATGTAAAGGCTCAGACCCTTACGTCTGAAGCCAAAACACGTTTTTTTTTTTTTTTACTTTTAACAACAAAACGCATTCTGATGACCAGAGCATTACTCGCATACATTCTGCGAAGGAACGAAAACAAATTAATGCATAAAGGACAGCAAGAAACAAAACGTGACGTTGACATACCTTTGATTTCGATAATGTCGAAGAAGGAAGGAGGTTGGTTTTCGTCAGATTGCGCTGCCATGGCTACGCACCGCCGACCCTGATTGCTCGACCTCGACGAAACCCATGGTGAAACCGAAAACAACGCCTTAACTCCGCCAGCGGATGTCTCCGCGACGACATTGCTCCGCACTCTGTTCAGCGAGGCCGCGGGAGGCGGCGCACAGAGCGACAACATGGAGGTTGTGGCCGCCGCACGGCTGCTCAACATTTTCAGAAGCAGGCTTCAACCGCGAAGCACGGGAGCTCTGGTCAACGAAACTACCAAGGGCAAAAAAATGACAGATGAAGGGCTTCTCCAGGCCTTGAAGGCAACCGCAGAGTGGAGCAGGGTGGATAGGGGAGGGAGGTTTGGGACCCATTCAAAAAATGCAATAACTATTTTGCATTCATGTGTACAGTCTTTTCCCGCGGAATGACATTTCATAGTCGGGGCAGGTTCCATGTGTGCATAGAGAAATCAAGAGTGCATGATTACGACCAGCGGGATCATCCGCAGAAAACAGCCCCTTGAGAGTTCCGTTGGGCAGCATGCATACAGAATCAGCGGATGACATGGCTTTGCGCGGGAAGTGTGCGAGCCACGTGTGGCTCAGCGTTGTTGACGCCCACATCGTTATCCACTGGCAGCGAAGCAGCTCATTAGGAAAGAACCATGATTCTGAAAATCCTGCGAACCTGGTAATGCTGTTCATCAAATTCTTTCGTAAGTGAGCTGAAAACCACGTTCCAAAAATCTGGGGCGTTCACACTCACCATCTGATCTCTTTCAAACGAGGATAGCATTTGTCAGTAACAGCGCCCACTGCACGCGACAGCCAAATCTCCGCTACAAGCAGCCACCGAAATACCCATAAGCACGGCGAGCATGTCAGCAGCCCTGCCTGCCACATGGCTTCCCGCTCCAAACTTTTTGGGACAAACCCGACGACGCGTTCTCCCCTCACGTCTTAGTTCTCTCGCTCTCACCGTTCGGCGACCTTTGAGCAGGAACCCTCGGAATCCTCCTATCCACGTGTCGCGATCCCAAGGCTCTACCCTGAGAGTGAGAGCATCGGCGCCGGGAATGGCGTCAATTGCGGCGGAAGAAGCGGTTACTAGGCCAATCCACGCGGTGGTATGCGGGGGAGGCGTTATCGGCGCGTGCACGGCGTTTTACCTAGCAGAGAAGGGTATCAAAGTAACGGTCGTCGAGAAGTGCCACGTGGCATGTGCTGCGTCGGGGAAGGCGGGAGGATTCTTGGCGTTGGATTGGTGCTCAGGCCCCACAGGGAAGCTGGCGCAGGTGAGAGGGCCATGGGTCTGACTATCTAATCTGGTTACTGGTTACACTCACCTGAAAATATTGGTTTCGCTGTAAAACGGTGTACATCGAAAACCACAACGAAGCAGTTCATATCGAATCTCCTCCTTGTTTCATTTCCCATTTCACTCCCCTCCCCCATTCACCTTCTTCCCCCCGTTCCCCCTGGCAGCTCAGCTACCGCCTTCACGAGCAGCTGGCAGCGCAGTTTGGCGACTGTTACGGTTACCGCAAGGTGCACACGCTCAGCCTCCAGGTCACAGAGCCCAAGCAACCCTCCGCTGCCGGCGGGCAGCGGAAGAAAGCTTCCACGCTGCCCGAGTGGATAGACGGGCCGGTGCGGGGAGTCCAGACGATGGGATCGCCAGCTACAACTGCCCAGGTGCACCCACAACTGTTCACAGAGACTCTGCTCAGAGTGGCTGGGGAGAGGCATGGGGTGAAGGTACAACTGGGGGAGGTTCAAGACGTGGTTGTGGCACCAGTGGGGGGTGATGTTGCTCCCTCTAAAGTCACAGGTGTGATTGTAGATGGTGCTACAGTACCGGCGGATGTTGTGGTCTTTGCGCTTGGCCCATGGTCCAGCAAGAATCGTCTCGTAGCACGGCTAGGCCAGATCACAGGGCTGAAGGCAAACAGTGTTGTGGTCCGGCCGAACCAGAATCCCGAAGCTGTGACCAACCACATGCTCTTCCTTCAGTACAGGACAAAAGACGGGCGGCACACCGACCCAGAAATCTACCCCCGGCCATCTGGTGAAGTCTATCTCTGTTCCGTGACCGAGGGGGATAATTACCTCCCGGATAATCCCGAGGAAATCACCACCACCCCAGGCGTCCCAGAGTTCTTAAAACGAGTGGGAGCTACGGTGTCGTCGGCGCTAGCAGATGTGACTATAGTGAAGGAGCAGGCGTGCTTTCTGCCGTGCTCCCAGGACAATGTGCCTGTAATAGGCCCTGTGCCAGATTTGCAGGGGGCATATGTGGCGACGGGGCACAGCTGCTGGGGCATTCTGAATGCGCCGGCCACAGGCCTGGCTGTAGCAGAGCTGATTGCGGATGGCAGGGCCAGCTGTGCGGATCTCAGACCCTTTGACCCTGCTAGGTTCGTGTGACGAGTTGTTGAAATACACAGCACAGTAGCATAGTGGTGCGACAGGCAGGCATGCATGTTACCCTTTCCCCAGGTTCCAAGACAATGTGTCAGTGATGGACAAGAGGGGCTACTGGTTTGTAGCGACGGGGCACAACTGCCGAGCCGAGGAAATCCACTAGGACATCAAAGAAGTACCACCCTATACCTACTACACATATGAGATGCCTGAAGCGTGAGGCATGTTGTGATAGCCCAAGGCAAAGGCTACAGAACACTGATTCATTCGCACGGAGCTGCACCTACTACACACCATCACAGGACTGCCTAGTCGGTCCCTGAACCAGTCAATCCTGCGGGTATCAGTTGAAGGAAGCACGCTTGTCAGAGGCTCGGACTGCCGAGCCAGTCAACGAACCTGCCGGCACCGAAGCCCGGAGCTCCGGCTGAGACTCGGGTGGTGATCCTACGGTAAGGGAGGAATTGTACGCACGCTGGTTTGCACCTTCATCCGTGGCCTCCTTGTTTCATTTCCCATGTCACTCCCCTCCCCCATTCACCTTCATCCCTGGCCTCTGTGGTATCAACCGAAACAGTGTGTGTAGACTGGGCATGCTTTGCTGAGTCGGTATGGTGGGACAGGGAAGCGGAGGAGGAAGGGGAAGGAGGAGGAGCGGGGTTGGGGGAAGGGTTGGGGGTTCGTGCAAGGGAGTGGAGTGTGGTGAAGCTGGTGGAAGACGTGATGCTGTGGTTGCTGCGCGCCGCGGGCCACAGGCACGCCTGCAGCTCAGTAAACGCCTCCCTCAGTCGCGCCTGTCGCGCCGCCCGATCCTCAGCCAGCACCACCTCCCTCCACGTGCTGCCCGGACCAAATCTTTCCTCGCCTGCCCGTGCTGCCCGCCCTGCCCAGAGCGACAGCAACTGCCACCAGTCAAACAGCCACCACTTATTTCTTCTGCCCATTCCACCCTCCCTTTTCTTGTCATCCTTCCTAACACCCTCCCCACCCCCCTCCTCTTCCCCCTCCCCAGCTGCCTTCTGGTATAGCTCTAGGACGCTAGAGGCGCGGGGGTTGACTCGCTTCAGGTCGTTGACCAGGTGAAACGCCCCGGAGTCCACCAGCAGATGGCTGCACACGCCGCCGCTGCAGATGGCACCGGTGCTGGGGGGCGTGGATGCAGGTGGTGTGAGGCTTGTGCGTGGTGAACTTCTGCTGGTGGGACTGGTGGGTGGAGTGGCTGCTGCGCTCCGTGGAGGCGAGGTGCCCTCCTTGTACCCTATGAGCTGATGGGGGCAGGGAGAAGAAAGGTGGGCGGAGAGGGGGAGAGGAGAGGGGAAGAGGAGAAGGGGAGAGGAGAGGGGGAGAGGAGAGGGGGATAGGAGACGGGGAGAGGAGAGGGGGAGAGGAGACGGGGAGAGGAGAGGGGGAGAGGAGAGGGGGAGAGGAGACGGGGAGAGGAGAGGGGGATAGGAGACGGGGAGAGGAGAGGGGGATAGGAGACGGGGAGAGGAGAGGGGGATAGGAGACGAGGAGAGGAGAGGGGGAGAGGAGAGGGGGAGAGGAGACGGGGAGAGGAGAGGGGAGGAAGAGAGGAGATGGTGAGAGGTTCATGCCTCGGGGGTGGATTCGTACGTAAGCCCAGACGAGCAAAGTTGGAGTATCAGATGGGGAGAGGACAAGGTTGATTGACCCTTGTTGACTCATACTGACTGACCTGCGGTGCGGCAGCCTGCCCATGTGGTTGGTGGAGTGTGGAGTGTGGCCACATCCACCAGGTCGCAGTAGGCCTATGTTGACTCGCATTGACTCGCGTTGACTCACCTTGACTCGTGTTGTCTCGCATTGACTCTCAATGACTCGTATTGGCTCGCATTGACTTGCGTTGACTTGCACTTACGCGCATTGACTCGTACTGACTTCCATTGGCCAGTATTAACTGACCTGCGGCGGGCCGCCCACGTGGTTGGTGGAGTAGAGCGTTGCCACGTCCACGAGGTCGCAGTAGGCCTCCACATTAGATGCAAACAGCTTGTGCGACCGCAGCTGCTCATGCACCGGCACTCCTCTCCTGGTCAGAATGGCACGCCTGCGAGGAAAGGAAGATGGGGGGTAGAGAGAAAGGGCCATTTAAATTGTAGAATATATTTTCACAAGAAGCACTCACCGCACTCACTGCACTCACCGCACTCTCACAGTTTCCTCACTGAACACTGCATGCCATGTGCCATGGTAAATGGACGGCTACAGTCTCATGCCTTATCCCATGCCCCACCCCATGCCCCACCCCATGTCTCACCCCATGCCTCACCCCATGCCCCACCCCATGCCTCACCCAATGCCTCACCCCATGCCTCACCCCATGCCTCACCCCATGCCTCACCCCATGCCTCACCCCATGCCTCACCCCATGCCTCACCCCATGCCTCACCCCATGCCTCACCTCATGCCCCGAACCACGGCAAGGTGAGCATCGCACATCACCCCCACCAGCTCGATGCGGTACGGCAGCTGGTGCTCCTGCCTCTCCCTCTGCCACGCTCCCACTCGGTCCCCTCCCCCACTTCCTCCCTTCCCCTTGCTACTGCTGCCACTGCTGCCCACCCCACCCACGCCTCTCCCCGCCTTCCCTCCTCCCAACACTCGTCTAGGGCTGCTGTGTCTCTTGGGCCTGCAGTGCTGGCTCTCCCCTTCCTGCTGCTTCTCCCCCCTCCCCTCCCCCACTTCATCCCCCTTCCCCTCCCCCTTCCCCCTCTCACTGCCCCCCTCCTCCCCACTTTCCCTCCTCCCCACCTCCTCGTCCTCCTCCTCCTCCTCGTCCTCCTCCTCCTCCACCTCTTCCCAATACCGCTCCACCACACTCCCATCCTCCTTCACCTGGTACCCAGGCCCCATCCTAAAGCGCCTCTCATGCACCCGTCGCGCCATGCCAATCGTCTGCTGCACGAACGGCGCCCATGACATGGTCCCGTCGAATATCACGTCCCGCCCCTCGTTCAGCGCGGTTACCAGCGTTGACTGCGCCGCCCGGGTCGACTCCTCGTGGACGAGCTGGGAGATCCGGGCGGCGTCGCTCAGCCGGTCAGCGGAGAGAGCGCGGAAAATGGCGTCCTTTTCCTTGAAGGCGTCGGCTTCCACCACCACTGCGTGGGGCGCCATGCGCGCCCAGAAGGTGCTGCAAGGGCGGGTGAATGGAGGGGGGGGGAGGGGGGATGGAGGAGGATGGGGGACAGGGCTCTAAAGATGGCGTCCTTTTCCTTGAAGGCGTCGGCTTCCACCACCACTGCATGGGGGGCCATGCGAGACCAGAAGGTGCTGAGAGGGCGGGGCGGGGGGGGGGTGGGTGGGTTGAGGGATGGGGGGGGAAAGGAAGGGAATGGGCGACATAAGCTCAGCTCTATCTATCACTGCCCCACTCACACTGACACCTACCGTTGCATCATCTCTTTGACCACCGTTGACTTGCCCACGTCCATGCCCCCGCCAATCAGCAACAGGTGACCTTTGACTCGGCTCGACCCATGCACATATCCTCTGCTGCTTTCTAATGCTCACTCACACACGCACACACACACACACACACAGACACACACACACACACAGACACACACAGACACACACACAGACACACACACAGACACACACACAGACACACGCACACACACACAGACACACACATGCACGTCTCCCTACCGCTTCATGATCTCTTTAACGACCGTTGACTTGCCAGCGCCCATGCCCCCGCCAATCAGCAGCAGCACGGGCGATCGCACGGACGGCGCAGCCGGCACCATCACCTCGCCCTCCCTGGGGACCTCCACGCTTGAAGCAGCACGTGGGTGGGAGGGGGAGCGGGCGTGAGAGGGCGAGTGAGAGGGTGACCGTGGTTGAGAAGGGGAGTGAGAGGGAGAGGAAGTGGGGAAGTGGAAGAGGGAGTGAGGGGGGGAGTCGGTGCTGGGAGCAGCACCCTCATGGCTGCTACCCACGCCTTCATTCCCCACTGCTCCACTGCCCTCCGCCCCAGTAATGCCCTCTGATCGGCTGCCCCCCTCACCGGGCCCCCCCTGACCAGGTCCCCCCTGACTGGATCCCCCCTGACTGGATCCACCCTGACCGAGCCCCCCCTCACTCGCTCCTCCCTGGCCCGCTCCCCAAGAATTCGCTCCCGGATGGCCGGGTCCGCAGCCGAGGACCTTCATCTCCTCCAGCAGCTGCGAGAACTTCTGCTGCGGGCGCAGACACGTGATGGCCTCGTTGAAGCGCCGCTGGCTGCAGGGGGGGGGGGTGTGGGCGAGAGAAAGGCGAGGGGGGAGGTGTTGGGAAGTGCAAGGAGAAGGGGGAGTGGGGCCTAAACCCTAGACTTCTGCTGGGGGCACAGTCACGTGATGGCCTCGTTGAAGCGCCGCTGGCTGGAGGGGGGGAGAGGGGAGATGGGGGAGGAATGGTTGGGGGGGGGGGAGAGGGGGAGTAAGGCAGGGAGGTGGCATTGGAAGTTGGGTGTCCAGAAGGCCGCACGAAGCTATGATATACTTCAGGGGCTAAGAATTGTAGTAGAGGTGTAGAAGAGGTGTAGAAGAGGTGTAGAAGAGATGTCGATTCATGGATGTCTTTCAGGGAGAAGGGGCATGGACATGGCCGTAAGAGGGCATAGACGTAGAGGGCATATACGTAGAGGGCATGGCCGTGAGAGGGCATAGACGTAGAGGGCATGGCCGTAGAGGGCATGGCCGTAGAGGGCATGGCCGTAGAGGGCATAGCCGTAGAGGGCATGGCCGTAGAGGGCATGGCCGTAGAGGGCATGGCCGTAGAGGGCATAGCCGTAGAGGGCATGGTCGTAGAGGGCATGGCCGTAGAGGGCATGGTCGTAGAGGGCATGGCCGTAGAGGGCATGGCCGTAGAGGGCATGGCCGTAGAGGGCATGGCCGTAGAGGGCATGGCCGTAGAGGGCATGGCCGTAGAGGGCATGGCCGTAGAGGGCATGGCCGTAGAGGGCATGGCTGTAGAGGGCATGGCCGTAGAGGGCATGGCCGTAGAGGGCATGGCGCGCTCACCGGATGACAGCGTTCACAGCATCCCTCAAGTGCAGCTTGCTGGTCGGCCCTCGAAACACCTGCACGCACGCAGAGGGATGAGGGGGTGGGGTTTTCTTTGGAATTCTCAAAAATCACCCTCGAAGCACCTGCAGAGAGGTGGAGAGGGGCGAGGTGGGGTGGGGTGGGGTGGTCTGGGCTGGGATGGCTCCTCTCCACTGTCCTCGTTGGCACGCTCAACCATTCTCCACCGCCCTACTTTCCGCCCTTGCCCCCGCCCCATCCCCCACCTGTTCGAGAGTGGAGTGCGCCCAGCGGAACCCCAAGAACGGCAGCATGCACGTATCCAGCTCTGCGATCAGCTCTGGGTAAACCCCTTCTTTCCCCCTGCACCCTTCTTTCCCCCTGCACCCTTCTTTCCCCCTGCACCCTTCTTTTCCCCCTGCACCCTTCTTTCCCCCTGCACCCTTCTTTCTTTGCCCATCCTAAGCCCCTCCCCCCAACCCCCCACCTACCTGGTCGATTATGAGCGCGGAGTGTGCCCAGTGGAATCCCAAGTACGTCACCATGCGTGTGTCTCTACGGCTCTACATCCCATGGTACTGGCCATGGTACCGGCCATGGTACTGGCCATGGTACCGGCCATGGTACTGGCCATGGTACTGGCCATGGTACCGGCCATGGTACCGGCCACGCGACTCACCTGTTCGATCATGAGCGCGGAGCTTTCCCAATGAAACCCGAAGTACGACAGCATGCACGTGTCCAGCTCCGCGATCAGCTCCGCCCCCACCCGCTCCACCTCCTCCTCGTTCAATGCTTCCGCGCTCACCCCTTCCCCCTCCCCCGCGCCCAGCCCCTCCCCGGCCATGCCCCCCTGCCCCCCGTCCGCGCGCCCCCGCCCCGCCTGCGCGACGAGCGCCAGCAGGTTCTCGCGGCTCTTATCGGATCTGCTCTTATCGCCCCGCACGTAGTCGTCGGCCGCCTGCGCTAGTAGCGACACCGCTGCTAAGTCCGTCGGCAGGCCCAGCTGGCGCACTGGGGCGGAGAAGAGAGAAGAAGTGGCGGAAAGGGGAGGGGGGGGGAAGAAAAGGGAGGGGAGGGGGAAGGGTAAGGCGCTGGGAAATAGGGGGGGATGAGGAGGGGGGAGGATGGTGATATACTAGACCGATTAATCTGTCCACGCAATATTAACGAGTAGTCTTTCGGCCACTAAGTTAAGGACTAGTAGGTCCGCCTCGTGGCGCTAACTCACCAACGTATTCCCCGAATCGCTCGATCCGTTTCACTTTGCCCGAGCTCGACGACCGTTCCACCAGCGGAACCAGATGCTCCACGCGCGCTCTCTCCCTCTCTGATTCCCCGCGTTTCCCGCCGGTAAATACGCTGCTCCACGACAAGCTCCGCCACCCGGCGGCGGCCGGCGCACATCTGTGTGCGCGCCTGGCCCATTGACGGAGCCCTCTCAGGCCGACCCATGAGAGACCGACAGCTGTCGCTGCGGCGGCGAGCGCAGCTATTGTTGCGACTGACGAGCCGCGCCCTCCAGCACTCACAGTGACTGCGTTGCCTGCCATGAACGATAGCTGGAGATTGAAATGCTTGTCCTACAATTTAAAAACTTGTAATTGTTAAAAAAACTCCTCTGTTCACATGGGGGTGTAGCTCACATGGTAGAGCGATCGCTTTGCATGCGATAGGTACGGGGATCGATACCCCGCGTCTCCACTACTTTCATCTCTTATGTCAGATCGAAGATTTTTTAATGAACGTCAACACCACCCTAAAGATCTTGGCCAGCCTCAGCCAGTCCAACCATATCGCACATTCTTGTAGCGGAGCTGCTTTCCCAACCACCTGTACACAGGGGTGAGTGCGAGAGCCAGCCACTGGCAGGAACTTATGAAAATGGAACATACTCTTGCCCTACGGCAATCTCTAGGTTCTAATCTCGGGTAGCATGCTCCTAGGGTTAGGATTGCGCAGGTTCTGCTTCCCTGCCAGCCGTTGGCGTGCTCCCGTTTCCCAAGTTTCCCCTTTTTCCGTGTGCAGAGCTTTATGCCTTTTCCCCGCTAGCCCTTTCTGCGGCCCTAGATATTACCAGGTGATAACGCTGTAGCGCTTTCTGCGGTCCTAGATATTACCGGGTGATAACGCTGTAGCCCTTTCTGCGGTCCTAGATATTACCGGGTGATAACGCTGTAGCGCTTTCTGCGGTCCTAGATATTACCGGGTGATAACGCTGTAGCGCTTTCTGCGGTCCTGGTTGGTTAATTAGTTCTTCGTCATGGCTCCGCAGCATCGCGCGACGCGGAAGCTTCGCGACGCCTTATCGGCGCGCATTGAGGCGTACGAGGCGGCTCAGATGGGTCGTCAGGCCGACATGGCTCGGCGCGCTGCCATGGAGCAGAGAGCTGCCAAGGACGGCCGGCTAGCCGGCAGCATTGATGGTGAAAGCGGACGCCCGGGCGACTGCAGCGAAAATAGCAGCGAGTGTAGTAACCGCATTAAGGAAAGGGTCTCACATGCACGGAAGATTGACGAAATCCTGCCGTCCGTTCCCGAAGACGCGCCAATCTCACCGTCCGATTCGGACGACTCTTCAGCATCGCGTCAGGAGAGGCAGCTCCCCCCGTTTCAAGGACTCCGACGACGGCCTGTGGGATCCACCGCTAGTAGCACATCCCGCATTGTGGCATTTGACCATGCGTCTAGCACTGACCAAGCCTCTCCGTCTTCCTCCTCCACCTCCTCCTCCTCCCCTTTCTACCAAGGCGTGTCGCTCTGGGCGCGGAAGTGGGCGCAGATATCGGCGCGCTTGGCGTGGCTGCTGTTCTGCCTCGTCTCGCACGCGGGCCACGTGGCAAACGACTTCACCCTCCTCCTAGGTTTTTTCCTCACCGGGCAGGTGCTAACGCTGCCCGGCGCCGGGGCCTCCACGTCGCAGCACCTCCACCTGCCCGTGTTCGGTGCGACGAACGTGCACATCGGGCCGGCGAAGGGTAACACGTCGGCGAAGTTTATTCGCCCGGGCGTGAAGGGCGGCATCAGCATCAGCCGCATGTGCAAGAACTGCGCTTCGTTCGTCATGTATTCTGGATGGAACATGCCCGGATCGCTGGTGACGTGGCAGATGCTGCTGGACGTCGTCACTGCTGTCGCGTTATTGTCCATCCCGATACAGCTCTACGTCTTCGTCAAGAGCTCCAAGGCGAGTTAAACGTTTGCACGTGAGCATTTGGTCGCATGCGCGCTGTTTCGTTCCTTCCTGCTCCCCCCTCTTCTCCACTCCCCCGTATACCCGCAGTTCTCCTGGCCTCATCTCCTTTGCACTCTCCGTGCCTTTTCCATCTTCACCAAGTTGCATCCGCTTCTCCGTCCCTCACTCACTCGCTCTCCCTCTTCTGCTCTTCTCACTCCTCTCGCTCTCACACACTCCATCACTCTCCATCACTCTCCATCACACGCGTCTCTCTCCACCTCCCCCTTCTCATTTTCCCCTTATTCCGCTCTCCGTCTCCCTCCCTCCTCCCCGCCTCACCGCCTGCAGAAGTTCCCCTACCATCTGCTCATCTTGCAGTTCGGCGCGTTTGTTACCACCACGGGGTGAGTCATGCCATGCCATGTCACGTGCCTCTGGATTCCTGGCCTGTGTGCCTCCTTGACCTCGGCGTAATCTACCTCCTTGAGCCGTTCTCAGCTGCTCTGCTGCACTATTTTTGCCTCTCTCTCACCCACACACATTTCCCGCCTCCGTCCAGCCTCGCCCACTTGCTGGAGCTGTTCTCCTACGGCCACTTGCCGCGCTTCCTACTACTGGCCATCACGGGGTGTGCAAGCTGCTCTGAGCGCGCATCAGCTGCTGCACCATGCTGCCCTTTCCCCTCACTGATGCCCCGCCTTCTTCCCCTTCCAAACCCCTCCCAACCCCTCCCAACCCCCAGCCTCACCCACCTGCTGGAGCTGTTCTCCTACGGCCACCTCCCTCGCTTCCTGCTGCTGGGCATCACGGCGTGCAAGCTGCTGTCGGCGCTCATCAGCTGCTGCACCGTGCTGCAGTTTGGCATGGAGCTCAGCGACCTCGCCATGGTGCACGAGCGGACCGTGCAGCTCAAGAGCAAGGTGCGTGCGATAGGGCAAGCAAGGTGGGGGTGATAGAGCAAGGTGCCGAATGTGCCAGTGATACGAAGCGGAAGGTGGGGGGAAGGGAGGGGGGGAACTGGGCACGACAACGTATATGCCATGTCTTTTGTCTTCTCTCCCCCCTTTCTCCCCCTTTCTCTCCCCCCTTTCTCCCCCTTTCTCTCCCCCCTCTCCCCCCTTTCTCCCCCTTTCTCTCCCCCCTTTCTCCCCCTTTCTCTCCCCCCTTTCTCCCCCTTTCTCTCCCCCCTTTCTTCCCCTTTCTCTCCACCTTTTCTCCCCCTTACTCTCCCCCATTTCTCCCCCATTTCTCCCCCTTTCTCTCCCCCCTTTCTCCCCCTTTCTCTCCCCCCTTCTCCCCCTTTCTCCCCCCCCTTTTTCTCCCCCTTCCTCTCCCCCCCTTTCTCTCACCCCTTCTCTCGCCTTGTCTCTCTATCCCGCTCGTGGATGCAGACGGAGGAGAGCAACAAGGAAGTAACCAGGTTGATGGAAGCCCACGAGGTGGAGCAGCAGCTGCGGCTGATCGGCCAGCGCATCCGCAGCACGCTGGACCGCGGGGTCATCATCAGCACCGCGCTGCTGGAGCTCCGGGATCTCCTCGGCCTTGAAAATGCCGCGCTCTGGCTGCCCGCGCCCAACGGCCGGTCGCTGGAGCTGACCAACGAGTGCGAGCACAGGGTTAACCCCATGCTCACGTTGATTCCGCTCAAGGACAAGGTCGTCACGCAGGTGTGTTGCAACCCCTTGGACCCCTGTGTTGCGATGCATTAAACGCTTCGGAACGCCGCGCTCTGGCTGCCTGCCCGCGCCCAATGGCCAGTCGGTCACTGGAGCTGACAAATGAGTGCGAGCACCGGGTGAACCCCATGCCCACGCCCATTCCGCCCAAGGACAAGGTCGTCACGCAGATGAGTTTCCCGCTAGGGAGAGAGGGTCATGAAGCACACAACGGGCTCCAGATGTTTGCCATTATCTCTACAGTGAACCTCCTCTATAGTGAACCCCCTCTATAGTGAACCTCCTGTATAGTGAACCCCCTGAACCCCCTCTTATAGTGAACCTCTATAGCGAACCTCCTCTATAGCGAACCTCCTTTCTTTCTGCAGCCCCCCTTCATCTGCGGCTCCCCTTCCCCCTGACCGATTATCCCCCCCACCATCTCCTCCTCGGTTCCACCGTCAGGTGATTGCCTGCCAGTCGCTCCGCCATGGTCATCCCGTCCTCCTGCCAGCTCGTCGCATGCTCTGCTCTGTTCCCTCCTCTCAGCCCCCCACCCGCTCTTCCACCAACCCCCCTCCCACCCCCTCCCACCCCCCTCCCATACCCCCTCCCACCCCCCTCCCACCCCCCTCCCATCCCCCTCCCAACCCAACCCCCCTCCCACCCCCCCACTCCCACCTATGTTGGAATATACGCGTATTGCGTATTATACGCCAGCGTATATACTCAAAACGCATGGGTTCGGGGTCCAATACGGCAGGAATACGCATGTCCAGGCAGGCTACAATTTTTGCCCGGGCAGGGAAACAAAATCAGGGGGCAGCAAGGAAGCCACGATGAGGGCGGCTAGGCTAGGGTTTCTGAAACGCGACTCTCAAATGAGGCGTTTTCTGGGGGGTCGAATTTTGACCTACCGATTCCCTCCCTTTCACCGCACTCAAACCCCCCCCCCCCCCCTCTACGAAGTCAAATTGGCTTCCAACCAACTCCCTCCCTTTCACCGCACTGAACTCCCCCCCATCTACAACCTACAAACTTTCCTCACAAATGCTCCACTCTCCCCCCATCACCTCCCTCCCGTTTTGCTAGAAGATCTAACAGCTAAGCACCGTAACTTGCGCAATCTCCGCCACCTAGCTAAGCACACCACCACCATCATTTTGCTTCAGATCTGAAATTTGGACGGACGGGATGGCTTTCAAACACGTCCAGCGCAGGCTGGGGTATGGCCGAAAAAGCATGGGCGAAAAAAATCGCGGCGTCCCGAGTTCGTGGAGAAAAAAAAATGTCATTTTTTTTCGCCGGGCAGCCCGGGTCTTGCGTATCGCGTATTCCAAGCGCATCAGCATATTGCGTATATTCGCAAGCGTATATTCGCAATACACAAGGCCTACAGAGCGTATATTCCAACATAGCCTCCCCCCCCCTCCTATCCCACCCTCCCCCCTCTCCCGTCAGGTGATCGCCAACCGCTCTGCCATGGTCATCCCGTCCTCCTGCCAGCTCGTGGAATGCTCTGCTTTGCCGCCCCCCCTAGGCTCGGGCCGAACCTCTGAGGGAGGTAAGACCTGCTGCATGCTGTGCTTGTGGGGGTGGTAGCTCGGCTGTGGGGCTGGTTGCAAGCAATAGCAGTCCGTGGGACGCTAGCACCTCCCGCCACCACAGCTGTGAGGTGAGATGCCCCGAGGATTGGGCAGTGGAGTGCAACATGCTCGTGCCATGGCTGCCACAGCCACAGCCACAGCCACAGCCACAGCCACAGCCACAGCCACAGCCACAGCCACAGCCACAGCCACAGCCACAGCCACAGCCACAGCCACAGCCACAGCCACAGCCACAGCCACAGCCACAGCCACAGCCACAGCCACAGCCACAGCCACAGCCACAGCCACAGCCACAGCCACAGCCACAGCCACAGCCACAGCCACAGCCACGGCTTGTGCAACCGTGTTTTTCGTCCCTTATTTCTTCCACCCATTGCAGGTGCAGCAGCAGCCCGTGTCCCTCTTGCAGACCCCACCACCCAGGAGTAGACGTGGGCATGAGCCGAGCCTGGCTCGGCTCGGCTCGTCCCCAAGTTGGCGAGCCGGCTCGGCTGGGCTCGCCTTGCTGGTATTTAGGGGCTAATGGTTTTCTGCGGACCCCTGTTTGCCAGCTTTGACTAGGTCCGCTGCAGGGATTGAGTTTGCCAATCCCTACATAGACTCCTAATGTAGACTAGTTGGTGCTTTGAAACTAGCTAAGGCGCGCGCAACGCACGAACGATGTAGTTGCTGGCTAGGGTTGGTGGGATTGGTGTGGGGATGGCGTGGTACTAGCCTGTGAGGATTGTGTTTCGTCAATCTACAAACTGTACGCACGCAAATCCCCCCAAATCCCGAGGCGCAAGCCACTTGGCTCGAAATCGAGCCAGGGGCGAGCCGGCTCGCCCCGACTCGCCGTAAAAAATGGTGACAAGCCGAGCCGAGTCGGCTCGGCTTGCCTCGAGCCGGGTACAAAAAAGAAGAGCCGAGCCGAGCCGGGTGTGGCTCGGCTTCTGCCCACGTCTACCCAGGAGCGAGGACCCCCAGGATTTCGCAGTGGAGTATGGGATGCTCGTGCTGCTGCTGCTGCGGCTGCTGGTGCTGCTGCTGCTGTTGCTGCTTCTGCTGCTTCTGCTTCTGCTGCTGCTGCTGCTGCTGCTGCTGCTGCTGCTGCTGCTGCTTCTGCTGCTGCTGCTGCTGGACTCATACGCCCTGCTCACCTGTTCCCTTTCAAACCCTTCTTCCATTTTTTGCAGGCGCTGCCGCTGTGCCTCTCACTCTTACCGACCCCACCACCTCAGGAGCGAGGAGCCCCAAGGTTTGGGCAGTAAAGTATGGCATGCTCGTGCTGCTGCTGGAGTCACACGCTCTGCTCCGTTTCCCTCCCCTTGTTCCTTCCAACCATGGCAGGTGCGGCAGCCGTGCCTGTATTTCTTGCTGACCCCACGACCCCAGGGGCGAGGAGCCCCAAGGACTGGGCAGTGGAGTATGGCATGCTCGTGCTGCTGCTGCCGGGGAACCCACATCTCATGCCCTCCTCTCCTCACCCGTCCCGATCCTCTTCCCGCCCTTCCTGTCACCCCCTCCCTCCCGTCCCACAGGTGCAGCAGCCGTTCCGGTAACCCTGGCAGACCCACAGACCCCAGGGGCGAGGAGCCCCAAGGACTGGGCGGTGGAGTATGGCATGCTCGTGCTGCTGCTGCCGGGGGAAACTGTGGAGAAGGGGAAGGGCGGTGTGGGCGGAGGCGGAGGCGGAGGGGGAGAGGGCGGGATGAAGAAGTTTCGGCAGGAGGTGTTGGATAAGGTCGATACTGTGGCGGAACAGGTGAGAGGGAGGGGGGGGAGGAGAGGGGGTAAGAGGTGGCGTAAGGTTGGTCTCAAGAGGTGTTGGATAAGGTCGATACTGTGGCGGAACAGGTGAGAAGGGGGGGATGCGAGGGGGGAAGGATCGGGGGGGAGGAGAGGAGGGAAGGATCGGGGGGGAGAAGAGTGGGGAAGGATCGGGGGGGAGGAGAGTGGGGAAGGATAGGGGGGGAGGAGAGGGGGGAAGGATAGGGGGGGAGGAGAGGGAGGAAGGATCGGGGGGTAGGAGAAGAGGCAAGAGGCGACGTAAGCTTGGCTCCAGGAGGTGTTGGATAAGGTCAACCTCCCCTCTTCCCCCCTCCCCCGTCCACCCCCCCAACCACTTCCCTGCAACAGTAAGCAGTGGCTCTGCGCCATGCAGGCGTGTTGGAGGCCAGCAAGCAAGCCCACGAGGTGCTGGTGGAGGAGGGCGAGCAGCTGAGAGCAGTCCAACCTCCCCAACCCCCAACCCCCAACCCCCGACCCCCAACCCCCAATCCCCAACCCCCTCTTCTCCCTCCTTCCTACCTGCAGCTAGCAGTGGCTCTGCGCCACGCGGGTGTGTTGGAGGCCAGCAGGCAGGCGCACGAGGTGCTGCTGGAGGAGGGCGAGCAGCTCAAGCAGGCGAACCTGTGTGCTCCACTGTCTCCCTCCCTCCCTTCCCCCTGTCCCTGCAGTTAGCGGTGGCTCTGCGCCATGCAGGTGTGTTGGAGGCGAGTCGCCAGGCGCACGAGGTGCTGCTGGAGGAGGGCGAGCAGCTCAAGCAGGCCAATCTGGAGGGCAAGTCCGCTGTCAAGGCCCGAGACAACTTCCTGCAGGTCGGTGCCTTCTGGGACAATGGTCTTCTCAGTCAGGTGCCTTCTGGGGTAGACGCTTTAAGAAATGTGTGCCTTCTGAAGCAGGCCAACCTAGAGGGCAAGTCCGCTGTCAAGGCCCGGGACAACTTCCTGCTGGTGGGTCCCTCGGGGAGTGTGTGCTTTGTGGGATTGAGTGGTTGGTCCTTCTGAAGTAGCTGCCATCTCAGGCACCACGACGACGACGAGACCCATGTCGCTCCCGTCTCATCCCCTCCTTCGTTCCTCATCTCCCCCCCCCCGTCCCCCCCACGCAGGTGATGAACGCCAACATGCGCACGCCCATGCACTCCTTCGCCGCCCTTGACACCCCTCCGCGGCGGCATGAGCAAACGGCCCGGACGGGCCGGGCTGGTTCGGACCGGACCAGAATTTTCCCGGGCCGGGCCAACACCCCGGCCCATTCGGGCCGGTCCGGGTATGGCCCGCTGGGCCGGGCCGGGCCGCCAGCCCGACGAGGTCATTCAAGTCGGGCCGGGCGTCGTCAGGCTGGTTGGCCCAAATTCGGCCGGGGTTGGCCCGGGTCTTAAACCCGGGCCGGGCCAGGAAGTCTGAGAAACCGGCCCGGGTCGAGCCGGGCCGGCCCGGCTCGGTTTCTAGTCGAGCTGACCCTAAACCGGGCCGGGTCGGGCCGGGCCGGGCCGTTGCTCATGCCTACCTCCGCCCATGCTTACCCCTCTTTAACCCCACCCCAACCCCACCCCTCCCCCCCCCCCCACCTTGCAGGTGATGAATGCGAAGATGCGCACGCCCATGCACTCCATCACCGCCCTCTCCTCCCTCCTCGCCGAGTCGGACCTCAATGACGAGCAGCGCTCCATGGCCGAGACCGTCGCTTTCTCGTCCACCCTGCTGGCGTCCCTGCTGTACGACATTCTGGAGTTCTGGCGCCTGGAGGAGGACAACATGAAGCTTGTGCTGGGGCCCGAGCAGTTCGAGCTGCCCGCCCTCGTCACCGAGGCAGAGACCCTGTCGTCCCCCATTGCCAAGGACAAGGGTATCATGCTGACCTTTAAGGCGGACCCGAACCTGCCGGAGAGCGTGGTTGGGGATGGGAATCGGCTGCTGCAGGTGCGCCAAAGTAGCCACAGGATGTTGTAAGATCCACAACGGCATTAAGTAGACGAATGCAGTAACCATCACCGTGATGGTGGCACCAGAGTGCATGGACTCACTGAGCGCAGTCCAGTAATCTTTTCCACTCCCTCTCCCCCCCCCTTTCCCTCCTCCCCTCCCCATGCAGGTGCAGCTGAACGTGATCAACAACGCCATCAAGTACCAGCAATTCATTGCCACCCTCCTCCTCCCGCCCTCCCCCCTAGCCCACCCCCTTCCTCCCCTCCCCATGCAGGTGCGGCTGAACGTGATCAACAACGCTGCAACATATACGAATACAGGAACGATCACAGTGATGTTGGCATCTGAGTGCATGGAGTGGTCTCTCCCTACACCATCCCCACCTTCTCCCCCCACCTTCCCCCACAGGTGCTTCTCAATGTGATCAACAACGCCATAACGTACACCAACACTGGAACAATTGCAGTCATGGTGGCCCCTGAGCGCATGGAGTGGGCGCGTGACGGGTTTGTGCTGAAGGCGGAGGCGGGGCACACGTTCATCCGCTTCGAGGTCAAGGACTTGGGCCCTCAATGCGACTAATAGCCACTCTCACTCATGCCACGACCCTCCTCTTCCCGCCTGCCACCCTCCCCCCTGGCCTGCCCCCTTCCTCTCCTCTGCTACAGGTGCTGCTCAATGTGATCAACAATGCCATAAAGTACACCAACACGGGCACCATAACCGTGATGGTGGCCCCTGAGCGCATGGAGTGGTCGCGCGACGGGTTTGTGCTCAAGGCGGAGGCGGGGCACACGTTCATCCGCTTCGAGGTGAAGGACTCGGGTGTGGACCTCAACGCTGCCGACATCCCGAAGCTGTTTGACAAGTTCCAGGAGGACGAGACCAAGGGCAGCCGCACGGGGCTCGGTTTAGCGCTTTCAAGGAAGTTCGTGCAGGTGAGAGACGGGGGCGAGAGGGGAGTAGGACAGACGTGACATCCCGAAGCAAAATTGCTCAGAAGGCTCCGGGGGAACGAGACCAAGGGCGGCCGCACGGGGCTGGGACGAGCTCTATCGAGGAAGCGTGTGTAGGTGAGGCAGGGCCACGAGGGGGATTGTGGTGGCTCGCTAGGGCGCGCTCGTCTCGCTAGGGCGCGCTCGTCTCGCTAGGGCGCGCTCGTCTCGCTAGGGCGCGCTCGTCTCGCTAGGGCGCGCTCGTCTCGCTAGGGCGCGCTCGTCTCACTAGGGAAAGCTCGTCTCACTAGGGAAAGCTCGTCTCACTAGGGCGCGCTCATCCCACAAGGTCTCACTTGACAAGGTCTCACTTGACCAGGTCTCCCTTGACAAGGTCTCACTTGACCAGGTCTCCCTTGACAAGGTCTCACTTGACCAGGTCTTACTTGACGAGGTCTCACTTGACGAGGTCTCACTTGACGAGGTCTCACTTGACCAGGTCTCGCTTGACCAGGTCTCACTTGACCAGGTCTCGCTTGACCAGGTCTCACTTGACGAGGTCTGACTTGTCGAGGTCTCACTTGACTAGGTCTCACTTGACCAGGTCTCACTTGACCAGGTCTCACTTGACCAGGTCCCACTTGACCAGGTCTCATTTCCAGGACTAAAGCTGGGCTCGCCTCCCTCTTTGATGAATGGGCACGTATGTGAGGGAAGAGAACTGACAGAAATGGATGGATACATGATTGTTATGCCCACTCTATTACCCCCTATCCCCTCCACACATGAGTGTTCCTTCTTCCTCCCCACCCCATCTCCCCCCCCCCGTGCGTTTTCCACCATGGTTAACCCTGAAAAGTATGGGTCCATTGGTCTCATATGAGTGTCTTACGTTCCTTCTTCCTCCCCACCCCGTCTCCCCCCCCCCCCCCCCCCCACCAGCTGATAAACGGGCACATCTGGATGGAGAGCAACGGACGCGGCAAGGGTGCGGCGCGCAGAAGTTTGGAGACGCATGAGATTCTCTTGCACCTTCTTCCCCCCCCCTCCCCCCCCCTCCCCCCTTCCTCTCCCCCCTACCAGCTGATGAACGGGCACATATGGATGGAGAGCAACGGGCGGGGCAAGGGCGCGACGTGCAAGTTCCTAGCGATGCTGAAGCTCGACACGGAGGGCAGCGAAGGCAGCGATGAGGACCAGGACGAGGGGCCTGATGTCAACTTCTTCGCACTCAGGGTGAGTGGGTTGGCAGTCAGAGTACGTCAGGGTAAGTGTCCTGGTCTTCTTTTGAGTCGACTCAAAAGGTGAGTGGGTTGTCAGTCAGAGTACGCCAGGGTATGTTCCTTGGTCTTGCATGTGTTCCTTGCTCATAGTGTGCCTCGGTCTTGGTTCCTGCCGATGCTGAATCTGGACACAGAGGAGAGCAATGTGGGTGATGAGGACCAAGACGAGGCGCATTGGGATCTTGACGCGTGTGGTGGAGCCTGCGCATCCTTACCCCCCCCCCACCTCGTCCCCCCCCATCCTTACCCCCCCCATCCTCCCAACCCACTCCCCCCCTCCCCAATCAGATCATGGTGGTGGACGACAACATGGTGAATCGCCTCGTGACGAAGCGGCTGCTGGACCGCATTGGGATCTCGACACGTGTGGTTGAGTCGGGCAAGGAGTGCCTGCGCATTCTGGCGGAGGAGCAGGACGAAGAGAAGTACGACGTGCTGCTGCTGGACCTCATGATGCCCGAGGTGAGCTGCTGGACCTCATGATGCCCGAGGTGAGAGAGTGATAGAGAGGAGGGAGTGAGCGAATGATTTAGGGGTGAGTGAGGGAGTGAGGAGAGGGGGTTAGGGAGTGATAGAGTGAATGAGGGAGTGAGAGCTGCTCGACCTCATGATGCCCGAGGTGAGAGAGTGAGAGAGAGAGAGAGAGAGAGAGAGAGAGAGAGGGAGAGAGAGAGAGAGAGAGAGAGAGAGAGAGAGAGAGAGAGAGAGGGAGGGAGGGAGTGAGCGAATGAGCAAGGTGTGAGTGGGCGAGGAGATAGGGTTAGGGAGTGATTGAGTGAGTGAGGGAGTGAGTGGTGCACTGAGATTTGCACTGAGCCCTGCACTCCCTGCCACCTCCAGATGGACGGGTACACGCCGGCAAACAAGATCCGCACGGACCTGAGTCCATACCTACCCTGCACTGCCTAACTCCCCCCCCTTTCCTGCCACCTCCCCCCTCCCTCCCTGGACGGGTGCACGGTGGCGAACAAGATCCGCACGAAGGAGAAGATGGTGCTACAGCCAATGATCGTGGCGCTGGCGGCTAACACACACCTCGCCACTCTCCCAACCCACGCCTACCCTGCAGTCCCTGTCCTTCCCTCACCTCCCCCCCCATTCCCCCCTCATTACCACCACCACCACCTCCAGATGGACGGGTACACGGTGGCGCTGACAGCTCACCCACACCTCGCCGCTCTCCCAACCCACACCTACCCTGCATTCCCTGTCCTCCCCTCCCTCCTCTCCCCAACCCCACTCTCCTCTCTTCCTCCCCCCCTCCACCAGATGGATGGGTACACGGTGGCGAACAAGATCCGCACGGAGCTGAAGCCGGAGCTGCGGCCGATGATAGTGGCGCTGACGGCGAACGCGGACGAGACGACCAAGGACCAGTGCCTGCGGCACGGCATGGCGGGCATGATCACCAAACCCATCTCGCTCAACGCGCTCAGGGACGTGCTCGGGAAGATGCTCGACCAAAACGCACGCAACAACTGAGGGCAGGGGGGAGGGGGGAGAGCCAGGGGGGAGGGGGGGAGGGGGGGGAGGGGGGAGAGTACACTCGCAAGGGGTTAATGATGTGGGTTGCTCTTAGGTGCAGGGCTGACGTTTCAAAAAAACCCCCCCTGACCTGTCGACTAAAAAAAAAAAATTACCCTGAGGGGTCTGTTTTTAAGAAATGCCTACCCTGAATTGTCAGTGCTAAAAAATATGAAACCCTGAATTTCTCAGGGTTCACAGAACGCGATCAGGGTTCACAGAACGCGATCAGGGTTCACAGAACGCGATCAGGGTTCCATTTAGCCATTCTCAAATTGCTGCATCATCTCCAGCAGTCACCATATTTCTCGTGGGAGAAGTGGGAGTAGTGGGTAGAATCTTGGCTACTTCTGGCAGACGGGTTTTATTTTTCAGATTTCCTAGGCGAAGTAGCTAAAAACTCAAACGGCTGCCCACGGCTCAATTGAGGGGGGGGAAATCGAAAAGGTGGGGAGGGGGGAATCTAATGTTACAACCACAGGCTAGAATAGCACACCAGCGGAGCTCTTGAAAAAATGTTTCGTTTTGGGGCAGACCCTTTGGTGCGTTTTCTATTTCTGAAATGGTATGGGACCCGAAATTGTTTGTAATGCGAAGTACCTTTGCTACGTTATTGGTGCGCGACGATTGATTTGGCGCCAGTTGCTCGACGGATCAAGTTGCGACTGACCACTCACATGGCTCAGTTTTTTCAAGAGCTCCATGGGTGTGCAGTGCAATAGGTTTTTAACCCGAGGTTTACCTGGGTCGCATTTCGCACAACCCATGTGGCTGTTCGGCACACAAGTTGCACAGTTCACCTCCACCCTAGTCGCGAGTCGCGGTCGAGGGAGCTTCGTAATGTGAAGCCTTAACACGTACGCCGAATACTTCCGAGGTACAGTAGTTTTTTTTTTTTTTTTTTTTTTTTTTTTTTTTCGTTTCACCAAGTTGGCAAAAAGTCAAATGAGTCGCGCGCGCGTTTCCCGCCTCGTCGCACACGCGTCAAATCGGCGCCACTACGTTTCTATCATTGTTCACATGCCCAAAAACGCACCTCGCACAATAGAGCTGGGAACCCTTTTTTTTCAAAAGAGCCATCTTCAAGAACGGCGCTCTTGAAGCCCCACCTTGGCTATTTTAGCCTGTGGTTTTAAAAGAGCTAGAATGGTTCTAGCTAGGAGTAGGAGCCATGGAAATGGCGTGAGGTTTTAGGCTAGGAGAGAGAGTTGAGGAGAGAAAAGAGAGTTGAACTAGAAGAGAAGAAGATACAAGAAGGGAGGTAGTCCCTCCCCTCTACAATAGGATTCAGTAAGTAGCATAACCAAGCCTACAAGTATATATAAAAATTATATAATTTAACACACCCCCTAGGCTTGGTAGTGGCAAGCCCATCCCACCCCCAGCACCCCCAGCACCCCCATTCCCTGTAGCAGTAGTGGCGTCGACCAGCCAGTCGACCCCTCGGCGATCGAGGTGGCGACGTCGACTGCGGGTCGCAGCAGCATCGGCGACTGCGGCGGCGGCGGCGGCGGCGGCATCGAGGCACCTGGCGACGGCGGCTGCAGCACCCGAGGCAACGGCGGCATGGCTCAACCGGAGACGAGGAGGAGGAGGACGGCACGAGGTCGCCAGCAGCCTGCAGTAGAGGTGACTGCAGGGAAGGAAGGCGCTAGGCATCCTTGAGCTGCGGCGGGGCGGAGCCGGCTGGCGTGGCGAGCTGGGACCGACGCGGCGAGCTGGGTCGGACGCGACGAGCAGGATCCGACATGACGAGCTAGGAGGCCCAGGGAGCTGGAGAGCGGGGGCTTGCTGCCTAGTGCCTAAACCAGTGCGCGACCCACTGCCGCCCGTGCGCTGACGTCTACGCCGACGCCACCACGGCTTGACGTCGACGCCACGACAGCGCGACGCCACGGCAGCGCGTTGCGACGGCCGCGGCAGCACGACGACGAGGCCACGGCAGCACGGCGACGAGGCCACGGCAGCACGGCGCGGCCGCCATGGCAGCGAGAGAGAGAGAGAGAGAGAGAGAGAGAGAGAGAGAGAGAGAGAGAGAGAGAGAGAGAGAGAGAGAGAGAGAGAGAGAGAGAGAGAGAGAGAGAGAGAGTAGAAGAGCGCGACGGAAGCGTGAGGAGCAAGCCCACAAGGAACGAACAGCTCTGATTCCATGTTAAAAGAGCTAGAATGGTTCAAGCTAGGAGAAGGAAGAGCCATGGAAATGGCGTGAGGTTTTAGGCTAGGAGAGAGAGTTGAGGAGAGAAAAGAGAGTTGGACTAGAAGAGAAGGAGATACAAGAAGGGGGTAGTCCCTTCTACAGTAGGATTCAGTAAGTAGCATAACCAAGCCTACAATTTTATATAAAATATATATTATTTAACATCTAATTCAACTGGGAAAAGTGGAGGGAATCAAAAGCGAGAAGAGGGGGAAATCGAAACGGAGGGGAAGGGGGGATCGAAACGGAGGGGAAGGGGGTCGAAACGGAGGGGAGGGAGTAAGCGAAATGGAGGGGGAGGGGGGGATCGAAACGGAAGGGAGGGGGGGAATCGAAACGCAGGGGAGGGGGGAGGCGAAACGGAGGGGTAGGGGGGGATCGAAACGGAGGGGAGGAGGGAAGCGAAATGGAAGGGAAAATCTGGGACGTTGATCACTGGCAAATATCTAACGGCTGATATTTGTCGAAACGATCGCAATCGATCGTGGCCGTCACCTTTTCATTGAATTTCAGATGACCACGTGGGCAACAGGCAAAAATTCCACTAAACGGAGTGATTGCTCTTAGAAAATAACTATGGGTTTGTTGGGGGTATAAGACGTTGAGGACTGGGAGTGGGAATGTTTGTACAAAAGACCTCACCGATTTTCTGTTTGTCCTGTCTCTGGCTATTATGATTTAGCCGATTTTTTGTAGGTTGCTGAGTGTGTGGGGCGAATTTTTTGTAGGTTGCTAGGTGTGTGGGGCGGATTTTTTATAGGTTGTTGGGTGCGTGGGGCGAGTGTTTGTACCAAAGGACTTGGAAGTATTTTGTAGGTTGATGTGTATAGGGGGAGTGTCTGTACACTTGGACATTGCCGAATTTTGTACGTAGGTTGCTGGGTGTGTGGGGGGGAACGTCTCTGACGATTGGGGACTTAGCCTAAATAGCAGGATTGCAAGCAGTTCGGTACAATTTGTCCGTATCAGGGCTGGTACGCGTTAAGCCATGGAAACTCAGTATGCATATAACATGGTCCCCGAAATTCTTAGTCTTCCAAAACTTACATCCTTGAAGGGTTAAGTGTTTAGATTTTGACCACCCTGAAAATTACGGGTTGGCAAAAAAACGTACCCTGTAAAATCAGAGAATCAGAGTAGAATACCCTGATAACGACAGCCCTGCTAAGGTGCCCTCCAGAAGATGCCGGACCAAACCGCACGAACAAAGTGTCAACTTATACATATATTGTTATATAGAAGTTAAATGCTAGATAGGGTATGTTCTTAGTGGATACAATCCAAATGCTATATCTCCCCTGTTCGCCGTTTTTCATTAAAGCATCCTTATAAGATAACTTTAATGAATCCTTATAATTTCTTGGGTCTTCAAGGAGTTTCCCCATCTTGGCAGAGTCCTTTTTCGCGGAGTTAGATTTTTCCTCGGCGATTTCCTCTGGCGAAGACTGGTCGTGGGGTGGAGATTTTTCCCCATCATTTTCTCCTGTTCGCGTCGAATCAGCTGCGTCGAAGATGATTTTTCCGGAAGTCCGCGGTCGCTTTCGGATCTTTTCTTTTTTGCCAGCTAGATCCGCAAACACTGGCGAGTCCCGTTTTTTGTCTTCTGATTGGCCGAAGGATTTCCGCCACTGTTGCTTGCCCGATACTCAGCGCGTACGGCTTTCATTTTGTTGTAGTCGAAGATTCGATGACCCGGCACCCCGCAAAAATCACACGTGAAGTTGGTGTTTTTCGGACGTGGCCGCCCTTCGAACCTGTCCATTTCCATCGGGTCGGCGAACGTAGGGTGAGCAGAGCGGTCGCCCTGTCGCGTACTGCCAACGTGCGTCCGTCGTGTCCCGGCGTTGACCATGTCGAAGCGTTCCGCTGCCGATACGACGTCACTGTAGCTCGCGTAGTTTGTCGCTGCTACTTGTCGTTTGACTTCAGTCTTCAGCCCGGCGAGGTACGACAGTACTTTTTCCGCTTCGGTGAGGTCAGGAATGCGGCTATAAAATTCTTCCATCTGCTGCGTGTACTGTGCTACACTCCCGAACTGTTGATGGCGATGATTTTTTTCCCGGGCAAGGGAATCCGAATTTATCGGCTCGAAACGTTTCAGCAGGTCGGTGCGGAACTGCTGCCACGTGGCTTCGCCGTGGATGAAGGTGCTGTTACCGCCGATCCACTCGAGTGCCGGTCCTCGCATCAGTGTCGCCGCGAGTCATACGCGTTGACCGTCCCAGACTGGCAAGCTCCATCCGACGGCTGCGAAGTAGATCTTCATGCCGGCGATCCATCTGCGGACGTCGGAATTTCGATCGCTCGGATCGAACGACTCAGGTGGGCGCGGCTTCGGGGCCTCAAGAAATTGCTGCGACTGCTGCGTCGTCGCCGTTGTCGTTACGTGTTGCGCGCCGGCGAGTCGAGTTACTCGCTCGAATTCTTGTCGCCAAGCTTCGCGGTCGGCTCGCATCTCCTCCTGTAGGGCAGCGATGCTTGCGAAGAGCTGCTGGGTAACTTCGGCGTTGTCGAAGTTCGCCATCCTGTTCAAAACACGCGCGGAGGGGGTAATTCGAAAAAACGCGAAGCTGGTGCTTACCAGAATCGGCGCCGAATTGGTCGCCCCCGGCGGTTTTTCGAGGCAGGATCCCGCTCCTGCTGCTTAGCTGAGAACGGCCAAGTGAGAAAAGCTCTGATTACCAAGTGTCACAGGATCAAATGTGTCGAGGAAAGGTTGCACTATCGATCAGTATAAGGCGCTTTTATACTTCCAATGTACATCAGGTAACCAGGTTTATCCTATCCAAAGGGAATAGACCCTTCTAGAAATAGAATCACCTTGCGTATAGCCACGCGGAGCTATTGGCTTTAAGAGATTACGGTAGGATTACGCTAGATAGAGCGCGTCAATACATCCCGAGCCTGGTCGGTGATATTATTATGATAACACGATAAACCAAAGGATGAAGGAAAAGGAGGAATAGGAATCCAAATGGAATGAGATA